ATCAGGATTAATGCTTAATCCTCTGTTTTTGCTAATCTCGAGACTAACATAATCTCGAGATTATGTTAGTCTTGAGATTAAATATTTAGATCAAAAATTTGGATTATAAGAACTCCAGATTTGCTGGTTTTCTTGACTGAAAGGGCCCTTACTTAATTTATCACTCATTTATTTATTAATTCATTAGTTAAAATTGGTTACAAAAGAATCTCAACGTATCATTAAATATTTTTCTTCACCGATTAATTTACAAAATGGCCGACAAAAAATTCTTGATTTGTTAAAAATTACGGATTTATCTCATGGGATAGAATTTATTTTCAAGGCTGTCATTGGTCAATACAATCTACGAACTTTATTCCTGCACTCTCATTGGAGAAAATAATATAAGGATATCCAAAGAGAGAGAAAAAGAGTGGATTAAGGACAAAAATTAAAAGTTTCTACAGTGGATATTCGTATTAAGTAGTTGGGATTAAAGGTTATCCATTCTAAAGTTCTCAGCTCTGATCATGTACGAATTATCAATGCTTATGATGTTAAAAACTGATTGATTTTAATTGTTAAAGAGACTTTTTTTAAACTGAAAAAAGCCGGTTGCAATCATCAGATTTGAAAACTTTTAAAATGAAATAAAGGTCGGTTTCCAGAGTACCTTTATGAATCCGCCATTGCCATCTTTGAATGAGGCTTCAGTTGAAATTGCGCGTACAGTCCGTTTAATAAGTATGCCTGGAGAAATGAGACCTAGAACTCTTTTATATTGGATTCTATTAACAAATTAATTTACATTGATCAGTAGAATTGCAAATTATTTTCAGCACTAAAGCTCGGAGTTTTTTATTTTTATGTTTTAAATTGTCTAAGTTTTACAAATACAATTCATGGCAGGTTTACAAACACAAATTTGGGTTAACTTTAGCAATTTTTATTATAATCTCCCCCTTTTTTCTATCCAGCCCCCTTCTCGGTTAGACATCTTATAATTGGTCTAATAACAGTTATATTCGGCGTTTTTTTCAAGAACACCGTCAGTTTTGTTCCCTGGACGATAATCTTTTTTCAGACTCAAGAATTCCTCACCATTGACAATAAATCAGACATTTAAAAACAAATATAAAAAAAAAAATTGTATTCAACCTTTTAGTTTTTAAATTTAAAATGTTGCTTTATTTGAGTTTGATAAGGTTGCAAAATCATAACAGTAATATTAAACATCTTCTAAAGCAGAGAATGGACTCATTGTATCTAATATATTATCTTTATAGCTTGATAGTTCAAACTTTATTTATGTCAAAGGTCTCCGAAAATAAAAGATTGATGAGAGTTATAAATTCCCTTATAAAAACAAAATTAACTGCGTTACTCTCCTCAAGGTTTTACTATTTGATATTTGTTATAATTTTTGATGTAAAATATAAATAAGAGGAGATTTAAAGTCTTCCAAGTGATTGCCACCATGTTTGAAGGAAGCTCAGGCCTATATCTCGGTGAAAGTATTCATCACTCGCTGTCTAGCTCTTTACATATAAACAAATCACCAGATAAAGAAAAAAGTTTTCTTACGTTTATTTGCCAAGGGAAACAAATTAGTTCTTAATATAAAAGGCAAATAAATTTAGTAGTAACTTTTTAAATCATTAAATTAAATGGTGTTCACAGTGCGCAGTGAACACTGTTCCTACGACTATATTCAAATCTATAACTTGAGTCGTAAACTCGTCTTCCTGTTATAGAGTGTTCTGGATCTCACTGTATAAAGCTATAAAATAATTTCTCTGGCTTTTAAAAAAAATATAGATTTTGTAAGGATTCAAGACTCAATTAGTTTTTTTATCTGTGATTCCACAGTTTTATGTGCCCCACTGTACGACAATTTATTGATATTTGTAGACAGATAAATCTTGAGACTAAAGGATCTAAAGTAGAGGTCGACACTTCCNCGTCTTCCACGCATGGTTATTGCAACCCTACCTAATCCATCCAAACCCAACCAAGCCCATCCAAACCCATCCAGACCCATCCAAACCAAACCATCTCCATTTAAACCCATCCAAACACATCCAAACCAATCCAGACCCATCCAAACCCATCCAAACCCATCCAAACCAAACCAAACTCATTAACACCCATCCAAACCCATCTAAAACCATCCAAAGCCAACCAAAACCAATAAAACCCATTCAAACCCATCCAAACTCATCCAGACCCATCCAGACCCCTCCAAACCAAACCAAACCCAGCCAAGCCCATCTAAACCTATACCTTCCAAACAGAAAAGAAAAGAAACATGAATATTTAAATTGATTGGTTAATGGTTCCCCATTTCAATATATATATATGTATATTTTGGGAATTTTTTATTTATAATGGTTTTTCTACTTTTAAAACCTCTTTTTACGTATTTATATATAAAAATAAGTAATCCCTGTCTGAGTGTCATGGTGTTTGTTTGTTTTTATGTCCTACACCTCATGAAACCCTTGACTGCATAGCTTAAATTTAGGATGTAGGACTCGACAGAAAATACTCTTAGCTTGTTCCTTTTCTTTTACTCTTAAGTTCCCTTTCTCCCATTCCCATCATCCTTCCTTCCTTTTTTCCTTTCCCATCATCCTTCCTTTCGTGGATTTTGAAAAATAGTAGTTTTTCGAGGCAACGTTTTTCCCCTGATTGATTGATAACTTTAAAAATTAATGTTATATTTATCAGATTGCTTTGTTTCTAATGCTAATCTTAAACTCTGGAGTCAAAAGACAAATTTGAATAGATTTCTCTTCCTTGGAATTTTATCTTCCTAACTTAGAATTATTAAAGGGACTGGGTAAGATATTTTATTTGCCCCTCAATTTCAAGGGTTACATGTCCGATTCACAGCAGTGTGGGAACATATTAAATTATTCCTAGAAGCCAAGTCGGTATATATACTTTCTTGTCTATTTTTTTTGGTAACCAATAAACGTCTAAACGTTTGAACCGAACGAGCCCAAATTTAAGGGATTATAAAATAGGAGATTAATGTAAGGAGATTAATGTGAGGAAATTAATGTGAGGAGATTAATGTGAGGAGATTAATGTAAGGAGATTAATGTGAGGAAATTAATGTGAGGAGATTAATGTGAGGAAATTAATGTACGGAGATTAATGTGAGGAGATTAATGTGAGGAAATTAATGTGAGGAGATCAATGTGAGGAGATCAATGTGAGGAGATTAATGTGAGGAGATTAATTAAGAGAGTCATTCTAAATCTATATCCAATCTATTACATTTGCACCCTTCTCATTGATTGACTAAGTGACTTGAGGAAGTAATTAATAAGGACCTAATGTAGGCTCTGTTAGGCTGTATACTTACTTAAAGAGACTGTAGGTGCAGTTTCAAATGAGCTTCCATATTTCTACCCCCAACTTGGTGAAAAGTCGAGTTTTAACCCTTGTATGGCACGACTATAGCCGGTGAAATCTCCATTTTTAAACTCGATTAAACCTCCACTTCTGGAAAGCAAAAGTCGATTTTTACTCGAGTTTAACTCGAGTTTTTGTTTGCTGGGTAGAAAGTTATGATTCGCCACAGTACCATGTAAATCTTTGACATGGATATTCTTTTTTTTCATACTGAAAAGTAAATCTTTAACATTAGGGGCCATGTTTACACTCGACTTTCCTGGCAGTTAATTTTCAGCTAGGAAATAATGAACATCTCGTCCATCCTTTACCAGGTAAAGGGGTATCGTTGTGAATCTAAAATACAACTTTATTTATTGAGGTGCACTTGAAATAACTTTAATACTGCACTAGGTTGGGAACCCAGCTTCACTGGGAAAATATACTATTCTTTAAAAGTGTCAACTCACTTCACGTGGATTTAATGGTTCTGTCAATATTCCAGAAAGCTATGACTTTCGATCACAAATTCTACTATTAAACATCATTTTTCAGCCTTCTTTTTTAAATACTTTTTTGCCGGCATATACGTTTTAAATAAAACGTATCAAACAAACAAGTCCGTAAGTTTAAAGATCGTTAAAATACAGACCATAATATAATTTCAAATAGAAGAAACCGAATGCCTCTAACTGTGGTTAGTCCGGGGCGACCTAGATCTTTAAACCAAACAAAAATCTTCCTTCCCGTGGTTATATCGAGGTACCCGATCAAAATCTGAGGGAAATCAGTGAAGGGGTTTATGAGCTAGACATACAATCTAACAGACACACTAACAGAGATTACTACTTTATGTTTATAGATATAACCAAAAGATTCTCCTGATTTTATAACTTTTATAACCTAGTATTTACACCCATTAAATCTAGATTTTTGTATTTCCTATTAGATACTTTTTTAATACTTTATAAAATATTTACAAAGAGAGAACTAGTTTATCTATCTACTAAATGTAACTTTTTTATTTTGTCAAGAAACTTCAGATGAGTCTAGTTGGCGGACTGAGTGCATTTAATTAAATAATTGGAAATTTTTTATCAAATTAAATTGTTATCAACTTATTGCATTAAAAACAATTTGTACTTAACATTTTTCAATTTAAAAAATATATATATTAACAGAATAATTTCAAATTACACATTACACAAACATAATTCTGTCAATTCCATTCTTTGTCTTTTTACAGAAATCCACAAGTCACCATTTCACAGAAATAAGAACAGCCTTGCTCATATAAAGGTTAAAGGCAACATTGTGATTTTGACATGCACCTAATTGAAAAGTTTCTATAAATAACGCCGACAGTCCCTTCAAGTTTATTATAATTTTATGAAAAAGGCCACTATTTAATATATTATTAATTACCCATTCTTCATGAATTACTTAAAGTTAAAGAAGATAATTTTGTTCTATATAATTTTGATGATAATGAGATCGCAACCATGATCAAGATTTTATGTTCCGACTAGAAACTATATTTATATATTATACTCTATTCTTGCTTTTGTCTTATCATATTGTACCATTTTACCTCTGTGTATGAAATAAATCTATAATAATAATAATTGGATTTTCAGAAAATATGACTTGTATTATGTTAATGAAGATTATGCTGCAAAGAAACTCAAATCGGAATTAAAAGGTGAAATATGAGGTTAGAACTTTTGAATTATCAATCTCGGGATCAAGCATGTCAATTAAATTCCTCTTCGACAGCCTGTAATGGTCATACCCTGTGGAGGCATTGCTTTAATTTAAGGATCAAGCATTGATCCTTAAATAAGAAATGTCTGGGTTATCGAGTTCAAGATTAACAATACACAAAAGTCTCATTTGCTTTGTCAGAAAATAAAAATTTTGTTCACAGATTTCTTTATAAACAGCGATTTTTTTGTACGGATTTCTTTATAAACAACTATTTTTTGCACGAGTTTCTTTATAAACAGCGATTTTTTGTACGTATTTCTTTATGAAGAAGCGATTTTTTTGCACATATATCTTTATAAACAGCGATTTTTTGCACAGATTTCTTTATAAACGGCGATTTTTGCAAAGATTTCTTTATAAACAGCGATTTTTTTGCACAGATTTCTTTATCAACAGCGATTTTTTGCACAGAAATCTTTCCACACAGCGATTTTTTGCACAAAATTTCATTATAAACAGCTATTTTTGCACGTATTTCTCTAAAAACAGCAATTATTTGCACAGATTTCTTTATAAACAGCGATTTTTTGCACGTATTTCTTTATAAACAGTGATTTTTTTGCACATATTTCTTGATAAATAGCAATTTTTTAAACGTATTTCTTTATTTTTTGGTTTTCTTATTACATTCTTATTTTTGCAGATTTCTTTATAAACAGTAATTTTTTTGTTTTTATATCACATTTCTTTATAAAATCGATTTTTTGGCACGTATTTCTTTAAAAACAGCGATCTTTTGCAGGTATTTCTTTCTAACAACGATTTTTTTGTTTTCTTATCACATTCTTATTTTATAACTTTGCAAAACTTTGAACGCTTTCATTTAAAAAGTTTTTTTTTCTTTTAATTTTTTAATAAAATCTGGATTTAAACAAGAAGAAGATGTGATATTTTAGTTGAGTCAAGAGCATTGAAGAAGATTGTGTAAATTTATTAAAAATATATTCTATTTAATGGTTGTATTATTGCTTAAAAATACAGAACATGTATTCACAAACCAAAATGGTGGAAAAATAAACACAATCTGAATTTTTATGTATTTATGCAAAGATGGTGTGAATAAAGTGAATAAAAGATTTACAAGGTATTCAATGGTAAATAAAGGAAATAAATAAGGTTTTAAAGGGATTGTATCCGTAGTTTCAACTAACCTTTCATTTAAAGTGGGACTTCCCTAATTCACAACGGTTTTATTAAACCTTATACAGATCATCGAAGACATTTTAAATATCTTTTAAATGCCGAATAATTCGATTGTAAACTAGCGTACTGTGTGAACTCAACGCTTGACGATCACAATCCCTATAAATCGTCATTTTTTGCGGTTTTATGTTTAAAAAAATTAAAACTTAATTGATTTGTTTAAATTTTAACTTATCATTGAAGATAGTAAGTTTTTGTTTCTATGATCAGAGCTGAGAATTTTTGTTTTTGGGATATCGAGATCAATGCTTTCGATCCTTTGTTAATCTGCAGATTAATTTAATCTTTATTTGATATTCCGCATAGTAATATCATTCCCAGTCAAGGCCGGATTGAAGAGAGCTATGATCAATGATAAGGGAAGAAGTAAGATATGAAAAGGAATATTTTTTTTACGTTTCTTAAATTAAAAGGGCCCACAGTAAATATCAAGATCAAAGTTCCCAGCTCTGAACAATTTTTGAAATTAAAATCAAAGGTTGCGATACATTTATTTATTTATGATATGAACCTTTTGCAGATCTTAGATTTGAAAACTGTGCACAAAGAGTAATTGTGTAAGAAATTTTAAACTGGTGGAGGCTACTGTTTGGGATCAGAATCAAGATTAAGAATAAGGAACAGTTTTCATACTCAATTCAATTTTATTTGAATGATAAAAAGAATCAAATAATATAAAGGAGTGTTTTAAGGTACATTTATTTCTTTTAGATATAAAATACATTGTGAATAAGGAGTGTATCAAAGGAGAGGAAAAAGAGTAGGTCACGGCCCGCTTATATGTATTCTTCTATCTACCGATCTATACTATTCTGGGCTAGTGTACATGTAACTTTGTCGGTGGGCTACGCAGCTGTTATATCTCAGTGGACCCTAGATATTTTTAGGAAATTTCTAAAAACTCTCCATGCAAATTTTAGGTTTAACTATAACAAATTTTTATTCTGGCTTTTGTTCATTTTATAAAAATAATTTGTACTTTTAAAAAAGTTTGAAGTGAAGTTCAGGGTCCAAATTAGAGAAGAACTTTGGTACATAGTGGGCCCTGGAGTAAGCAGAAATGAGATACTGTAGCTAAAATCTTGTGATCATAGCGTTTTCTTCAAACAGTTGGTAGCATCAAAGGCGCCTTGTCTTCAGAATTGCAAAATGTGGTCTGCCGCTTTTGTACCTCAAGAATTGACCAAGATATTGAGAAATTTGTTTAAAACTCAAAATATTAAATATCAGCAAGGTTGTTTAAATCTTGAGTATCTCCAACAATTTTTATAATACAAAGAAGGAGGCTAAATCTTATCAAGACTTACAATGTTTTTCTATACTCCTTTGACATCTATTAACTTTACAAAAACCAAAGACAAATTGTAAGTTGTAACGTACTGCATAACACCCCAGCGAAAAAATTACATCAAACCTTGACTATGATATATCCATCTATTATATATCCATGGAGTAGGTCTTCTCCTGTTCCAGAATCCGACAATCCTTATTTGCGAATTTCATAATTCTTTTTCGGGGATCCTTTACCATGTCAATAATAATTCAAAAATAATTAAATCAAGTAGAATAGGGGGGACAACTTTTAGACTCAAGAAATAATTTTGAATATTTCAATGAACATCAAACATAGCAATTATGCAATGTTAATTAGTATTGACTCATTACAACTGGTAGAACTATTTACTTTTATAATAATATCAAATAATTAATATTGTTTAAATGTCGTCTCCATATTCCAATGTTTTATGGGTTCTATGTATTTAAAGGTTCTTTATATTACGATGTAATTGATCAAAAGGTTACTAAAAATCATGTTAAAAAACCCAACATGCAAAGATGTTAATGCCCGATTTACAACAGTACCCTTAAGAGCTCTGTCTAATCACGTATTAATTAGACATATCAATGTTTATAATTTAAAAAAACGGATTATTTTCAATGGCAATTTCTCTTCAAAAGTGTATTGAGCATTTCCACATACAGGAATTATCAGAATTAAACACTTTTAAACCTTTAAAAACGACAACGTCTTCCACGCATGGTTATTGATCAGATAAAGGTTTCAAGAATACAGTTGTGAATCGAGCATTGACATCTTTGCATTTAGAGTCATTTGAAATTACGCTGAAAGTTCCTTTAAGAGCAAAATAATAAACACTTTTTTCACGCTAAATGAGTTCAAACCAGTTCAAGAATCTCTTTAAAAAACTGATTGAGCATTGAAAGTTGAAAGCAGGAGCTGTGAGGTTCCAACCTGTTCCAATCAATACACTATGAAGACTATTAAACACACCGTGTCCTCACTATTCAGCAGTTCAAGGTACAATATATTTTCATACATGTTTATAAATTGATTTTATAAGTTTAAAATTTTAGAAAATAAGATTTTAAAATGACCGTTCCTGCATTGTTGGACAGTTGGCCGGTCAATTTACTCTGTTAGAATGATTAATTTTAAGAAAACCGCCATAAAATATTACTATAAGTTATAAAAGTATTTTAGCATTTGACAAATGTATAAAATTTCACAATTGTAAAAGCCTTTCAATGAAAAATGGTACAGAAGGAGGGGGGGGGGGGGGGGGGGTGGGGGTCGAGCCTTCCTATAATGTAAACAAACATTTATTGAGGTCCATAAAAAGTTTATTGGAGTATAAGCATTGAGAAGGTTTTCAAAGTATTGAGCATCCATGTTGTTGCAACACTAACATTAGGGCACGACACGTTAGTCATTTTTTTAATCGGTTCGTTAACAATTGGTTTTTGCGCAAAAGGGATTAACACGGGATTCCGCGCAAAAATCGAAAATTTACATAAGAAATTCGCAAAATGCCGAATTTTCGCTCAACGATTTTCCCATTTCGGTGGAAAGCGTAAAGTTGATTGATCTAATTCCTTGAAATCCAACAACTGTCTACATGATTAAAATAATTTTTGATCCACTGGAATGCATAGTTTTAAATATTAAAGGTCTACAATATCAGGTTGCAATACTTATATTTCCGATAAAACAATTATAAACTTTAAACTCTTGACTTGAAACCCTAGCCGAAAATTTAAGAGATTATCGTAAAACGAAACTCCTGAGTTTCCTTTTAGGGGTCTATACATTTGCGTATATTTTAATTTGAAAAGCAGATATCTAAATGCCTGACCGCCATTCATGAAACCAGGTTTCCGATACTGGGTTTCATTACGATACTATGTCTATTAATGCTGTACTCATAAATACTTACAGATTTGACCGACCGGCTCCTACAAAAAATGTACATAGATATTACAGAGATATACAAAAGACATATAAATTGATTCTTAATATTAACGATCAAAGATGTATATACGTGTGGATACAGTCCTGTTATTGTGCACATAAAGACACATAACCATATCCATTTACTGAAGATATTCAAGTGTGGATACAGTTCTGTATATATTTTGTAGATATATGTTCACATAAACATATTCATTTACTGAAGATATATTTAAGTGTGGATACAGTCCTGTTATTGTGTAAATATATACACACTAGCCTTATAGGGCGCTTCGCGCCCATCTTCTAAATTAATTGTGAACATGTTCTCTTTGTGTACATCGTAAAACAAAACAAAAATAATTCGCGGATTTTCACAAAAAATTTCGTTGATTTTCAAAATTTTCAAAAATTTAATGAAGATCGAATTTTGATGGAGACAAATATTTGAAATTTTGATCATTCATAAACCTTCCCTGTAGTCGCGTGATGTCACACAAAAAATTTGGGCCCGATCGGTTCAGCCGTTTTGACGTTTATTGGATACAAACAAACAAACAAACACCAAGACAAGCCAAATTTATGTATAGATGTAAACATATCTATTTACTACAGATATATATATAATATAATTGCGGATACAGTTCTGTTATTGTGTAAATATACACATATAACCATATCTATTTGATAAAGATAAGTGTGGATACAGACCTGTTATTGTGTAAATATATACACATAACCATATCTATTCACTAAAGATATATATAAGTCTGGATACAGTCCTGTTATTGTGTAAATATACACATATACCATATCCATTTACTGAAGATATATATATAAGTGTAGATACAGTTCTATTATTGTGTAAATATATACACATAACCATATCTATTTACTAAAGATATATATAAGTCTGGATACAGTCCTGTTCTTGTGTAAATATATACACATAAAACCATATTCATTTTCTAAAGATATATAAAAGTCGCGTGGGGATATGTCCTGTTATTGTGTAAATATACACATATAAACATATCTATTCACTAAAGATATATATAAGTGTAGATACAGTTCTGTTATTGTGTAAATATATACAGTACACATATAACCATATCTATTTCATGAAGATATTTAAAAGTGTGGATACAGTTCTGTTATTGTGAAAATAAAGACACATAACCATATCCATTTACTAAAGATATATAAAAGTGTGGATACAGTCCTGTTATTGTGTAAGTATACACATATAACCATATTCATTTACTGAAGATATATATATATAAGTGTAGGTATAGTTCTATTATTGTGTAAATAAATACACATAAACATATCTATATACTAAAGATATATATAAGTGTGGATAAATTTCTGTTATTGTGTAATAATATACACATATAACCATATCTATTTACTGAAGATACAGTCCTGTTATTGTGTAAATATATACTGCACACATATATACATAGCCATTTACTGCAGAGATATATATAAGTGTAGACACAGTTCTGTTGTTGTGTAAATATACACATATAACCATATCTATTTACTAAAGATGAATATCTAGCAGTAAACCTGGTGGGTTGATGCACTCTACCAAATGAAACAATAAATCAGTATGTAAGAAGGAAGGAAGGAAGGAATATAGGGGTAAGATTGAGTAAGCTCTGTGACCAGTAGATTACCGGGGGATTCTTGCTTTCATGCCTTATAATCAAATTATTTCCATTTTCTTTCTAAAAACTGAGTCTTTCAACATATTTGTTTTATTTGGTCGTGGTGCACTATCTGGACAATTTGAAAACAAAAATATACAATTAGTAAAATTAGACATATACAAAGACAAATAGACAAGAAATAAAGAAACAGCTGACCAAAAAAATCGACGACAAGACAAACACACATATATAAAAATAGACGCATAGAAAAATAGACAAATTGACAAGAGACAGCTAGAAAGATAAAACAATAGACAACTAGACAATTCAAATCAATATACAACTAGACAATTAAAACCAATAGACAACAAGACAATTAATACCAATAGACAACAAGAAAATTATAACCAATAGACAACTAGACAATTAAAACCAATAGACAACTAGACAATTATAACCAATAGACAACTAGACAATTAAAAGCAATAGACAACTTGACAATTAATACCAATAGACAACAAGACAATTATAACCAATAGACAACTAGACAATTAAAACCAATAGACAACTAGACAATTATAACCAATAGACAGCTAGACAATTAAAACCAATAGACAACAAGACAATTAAAACCAATAGACAACTGGACAATTAAAACCAATAGAAACTAAACAATTAAAACCAATAGACAACAAGACAATTATAGCTAATAGACAACTAGACAATTAAAACCAATAGACATCTAGACAATTAAAACCAATAGACAACTAGACAATTAAAACCAATAGACAACAAGACAATTATAACTAATAGACAACTAGAAAATTAAAACCAATAGACATCTAGACAATTATAACTAATAGACAACTAGACAATGAAAAGCAATAGACAACTTGACAATCAATACCAATAGACAACTAGAAAATTAAAACTAATAGACAACTAGACAATTAAAACCAATAAGCAACCAGACAATAAAATCAATAGACCACTAGACAATTAAAATCAATAGACAGCCAGACAATTAAACCAATAGACAACTAGACAATTAAAACAAATAGACAACTAGACAATTAAAACCAACAGAAAACTAGGCATTTAAAACTAATAAACAACTAGACAATTAAAACCAGTAGACAACTAGACAATTAAAACAAATAGACAACTAGACAATTAAAACCAATAAACAACCAGACAATTAAGACCAATAGACAACTAGACAAATAAACCAATAAACAACTAGATAATTAAAATCAGTAGAAAACTACCAAAAAAATATAGCAAAATAGCTAGGCAAATATACAGGAAGACAACTAGACAACTCAAGAAAACAAGTATTAAACTATAGAAAGTAAAACTATTAGATAAATGGGCAACATTATAAAGAAAATATAAACTAAGATTACAAATGTCTGGATATCGACTGAATTAATGCAAATGTTACAGATTGTGTTCTTGCAAACATAAATTTAACTGTAATACATTTACATGAAGTAGAAGATATATGTATATTGTTTAAGAAACATAAATGTAAAAGGGGGATCTTAAAAAATGGTGATTACTCTACACTTTGAGAGCTCAAATATATTAATTTATAAAAATCTGTTCTTATTTAAATTGCCTGAAAAAGGAAAGAAAATAAAGATATATTTAGTATTTTTCTAATGATTTGAAAGAGTCCATTTGTAAAATAAATAATAGAGACTCTACATCTTCTATTAAAAATAATAAGGATAAATCATTTTTTTTCAAAATTAAACTAATAGAAACATTAACAGACATTTAAAAAATTAAGATTTACAGATTCTTAGTATTTTTGTTTGACGTATATGTAAAATATTGAGGGAAAACTTTAAGATCCCCTTAAAAGCGACAGAATAAATAAAAATAAGAATTATGCCTTTTTTTATATGTATATTGAATAATGTATTTACACATACTTTGCTTGTGTGGGTGTGTACTGTGTCTATTATTTAGCCAATACACGTCAAAACTGAACCGATCGGCCCCAAATTGTGTGTGCAAACTATCATGACCTCAGGGAATCTTCATGGACCATAAAAAATTAACAATTTTAAAATAGCTACTTTCAGAGTAAAACTAAATTGCTAATAGGAAAAGGGAAGCCAATAAGACTATTATCCATATACATCTGTGTGTTATTTGAAATCTGACCTACTTCTATCTCTACAATCTGTGATCTGACTTTTATAGCTATATCTATGTAGTGTGCAATCTTTAATTTGACCTCATATTTTTGTCTGCAATCTGTAATCTGACCTCATATTTCTGCCTGCAAACTGCAATCTGACCTCATATTTCTGTCTGCAAGCTGTAATCTGACCTCATATTTCTGTCTGCAATCTGTAATCTAACCTGATATTTCTGTCTGCAAGCTGTCATCTGACCTCATCTTTCTGTCCGCAAGCTGTAATTTGACCTCATAATTGTGTCTGCAAGCTGTCATCTGACCTCATATTTCTGTCCGCAATCTGTAATCTGACCTCATATTTCTGTCTGCAAGCTCTAATCTGACCTCATATTTCTGTCTGCAATCTGTAATCTAACCTGATATTTCTGTCTGCAAGCTGTCATTTGACCTCATCTTTCTGTCTGCAAGCTGTAATTTGACCTCATAATTGTGTCTGCAAGCTGTCATCTGACCTCATATTTCTGTCTGCAATCTGTAATCTGACCTCATATTTCTGTCTGCAATCTATAATCTGACCTCATATTTCTGTCTGCAATCTGTAATTTGACCTCATATTTCTGTCTGCATGCTGTACTTTGAACTCATATTTCTGTTTGCAATCTGTAATTTGATCTCATATTTCTGTCTGCAATCTATAATTTGAACTATATTTCTGTCTGCAATCTACAATTTGACCTCATATGTCTGTCTGCAATCTGTAATTGGACCACCTATTACACAGAAATCCAAAGTCTGCACACTATTACGCAAAACTCTATTAGTTGTTTACAATTACTTTTCTATTCAAATAGATCTATTGCTCTTGATAATCTATTTCCTTCTATTAGGCTAAAAACGAGACTTCAAAAAATACAATTGAGCGAGTTATAGTGATAAAAAAACCAAGGCGTTGTGGCACTTTAAAGTCAACCCGGTCTAAAACATTGATGCATCACTTTCATAATTCTCTGGATCCCTGTGGGTGCTCTTGTATGTTTGGTGTGATATAATTTGGCCCTGATCCTGCATAACTATAGACATTCTATAGACTCACTAGATTCACTAATATTGACACAATTTAACACTAAAAATGGAAATTAGAAAAAGGCCAGAAATATATCAATAAAGAAAAAGTGCAAAAAATGTCTATTCTATTCTATTCTATTCTATTCTATTCTATTCTATTCTATTGTATTCTTTTCTATTCTATTCTATTCTATTCTTATCTATTCTATTCTATTCTATTCTATTCTATTCTATTCTATTCTATTCTATTCTATTCTATTGTATTTTATTCTATTCTATTCTATTCTATTCTTATCTATTCTATTCTATTCTTTTCTATTCTATTCTATTCTATTCTATTCTATTCTATTCTATTCTATTCTATTCTATTTTATTCTATTCTATTCTATTCTATTCTATTCTATTCTATTCTATTCTATTCTATTTTATTCTATTCTATTGTATTCTATTGTATTCTATTCTATGTATTCTATTCTATTCTATTCTATTTTATTCTACTCTATTCAATTCTATTCTTTTCGGTTCTATTCTATTCTATTTTATTCTATTCTATTCTATTCTATTCTAGAAAAAGGTCAAGACTATGTGCCCAGTGCCCAATGTATTTTCAGAATAGAAAATGTCCAAAAATTATCATAATGTGTTTTGATCAGAGTTAAGTCTAGTAAGAAGGAAAAAGACTAGATAGTTGGAAGAGGGGGGGGGGTGCGACCCAATTCCTTCACCATCCAAGAGGTTGCAATGAAAATAGAATAAAAATGAATCAAAAAAGAGCTTGCTATTGTACTCTAACATGGTACTTTAACAATAAAAATGCGCTAAATATAAAATATATAAAATATATATTCAAAGCATAACCTCTCTTTTTCTCTCTTATTAACATTAAGGATTGATAAGAAGAAGAGTAAAGCATATCATGGTAAATATAAGAGGTTCTGGTTAAAAATCAGTAAGTCTCTACTTTCGAACCCATTTCACCCATTAATTTGTTCATAAATGCTATTTTATACTTTTGCTGGGTTAGCTATTTCAAATTTTGAAATATATAATATTTTGTACGCTATTTTGAAATAAATAATATTTTGTACGCTATTTTGAAATGAATAATATTTTGTACGCTATTTTGAAATATATAATATTTTGTACGCTATTTTGATATATATATTATTTTGTACGCTATTTTGAAATACATAATATTTTGTACGCTATTTTGAAATATATAATATTAATGTGTACGCTATTTTCACGGATATTAAATTAAAAGATCAATATATTCAATTACATCATTTGATTAATTTAATTTTTTTATAAAAATATTGGACTTATTGTTTTTCAGTTTATATTAAAATTTCACATGTTTGCAAGTATTGTCCCCAACCTTGCAATCCTATAATCTGCCGAATTGTCAGCTGGCTATGCTGGGATCTTATTTGAAGTCACAACTTATGAATCTCGGAAACAAGTATTAATCTCCAGACCTACATGGATTAATTTAATTTCTCTCGATATCCCACTTAGAGGAAGTGTTCGCGAATAATGAAAGGGAGTACAGGCTTACGCTGAAAAATAATCGCTTTTAATCGCTACAAATCTTACTTCTATCTGTTACGATTATAAGGAGAAAATTGTTAAAAACGACTTAAAGTGAAGAACGTGATAGCGTCCATACAAATTCTCAAAGTAACAATACATGACGCGGATCATAAAATATCAATTTAATTTCAAACAAATCATTCAGATATTACAACCGCCGAAATAGTTGGCCTCCATATATCTCTGCTCTCGATGTTTTGAATGATTACACTTGGCAGAGACACCTAGCGGGAAAAAGTCGTTAGAGGTGCATTGTATATTGTTGACTTTTTCGCTGTAAGCCTATATATACCCCCTTTAATTGTTTGCTAACATTCCCTTTAAAGGATAACTTTGATTGAAGGATCAAGGGTTGATCCTCACAAATTCAAAAGTGCCAACATTTGACGTCGGATCAAGCATTCAAGATTAACGATAGATAATCGAAACAAATGTTGAGACCTTTGATCCTTTTTTCTTCAAGTTTGTTTTAATTACATTACTAGCTTAGGAACCCAGCTCTGCCTAAAGTCCTATTCCCTCCAACACACTCAAATTGAATTTAAAAATGAAGCGAAGAACATTACCCAATCAAAATTTGAGGCAAATCGGCCAGGGGTACATGAATTATGCACGGTATATGAGCAACGAGCTTTATTATATAACCTAGCTAAGAAACTGTAGTGTCCAGCAAACAAAAACTTTCGCGAAAAAATTCGAAAAAATGTGAAAATTTTCATTCATATTTTGAAAACTTTTTTGCGAAAACCATAGTTGCTCTGACAGCTCAGCATTAAAAGTTTTATTATATCATAATTAATAATTTCTCTTCCGTAAGTTGTTCGCAAAACTTTCGTATTTTTTACGTTTTTTTCGTGAAATTTTCTAATTTTTGATATCGCGAAGTTTGCCTTTTTTTCGCGAAGTAGAATAAAGCAAAATTTTGTAAAAAACCAATGCAATTTTTCGCATTTATCGCTGGAAACCCTATATGAGTTTCAGTTTTACTCCTTGTTTTGATAAGCAAACAATTCCATCCCAACGGAAAAAAATAAATATCATTTCATTTTCTCAAGTTTTCAGAACGACAGAATCTGAAATATTGTTAAATGGGGAGAAAAATATCGAATTACGGAGATATAAAAGATGAGAGAACAAAATATAATAAATTGCAGAAGCAGAAAACTGTGCAAATATGATATTTTGCAATATATTTTTAAGCACTTTCTAAACCTTGACATACACCTTAAACACCTTTTTTTCGACTTTTAAAAAAATTCATTGATTATAAAATGTTAAAAGACTGTCAGCGTGAATTGAAATGCGCTATACTTTTGAACATTTTAAATTTTCAGTTAGAAAAAACACCAAAGAGTAGCGTTTGAAGTTGATTACAACTTTTAAAAAAGTTGGTATCTTAAAATTATGTCCATAGTTTTTTTAAATTAACGTTTTTTCAAATTTAGGAGAAGTAGCAGTGGAAGTGACAAAGATGATGAAGTAAAACAAAACGGAAAGTAAGTAGATCCATTTTTTAAAGAACTTTGACATTTTTTTCAAGAAAAACAAGCCTTTGTAGGAATGTTAAAGCTTTCTGAAAAACTAAGAAAAGAATTATTTTAAAAGCAATGATAATTCATTATGTGAATATGTATTTGTATGCTTGTTTTTGACGTTTGTCAGTTTTATGTTAATATTAACCTTTGATCTTTATTCCTCAATTCCCTTTTTAAAATGAATCGGATCTACGCTTATATATGGAGAATATTTCATAAGCTTAATTTTTATCAATGAGAGTAGGTTATAACTAATGGTGGCTAATGAAGATTAAGTTCTGTGCAAATTCATGTTCAGACGGCTTATAGTTTTTGTCACTGAACCATCCCCCCCCCTCCCTATTCCAGGCCCCTAACACGAAAAAACCTTCGATTTCGACCCTTCCCGCCAATAAGTGGTTCAGATCGAGCATTAATGAGCTTGAGCTTAATGAAGTCGTTCATAAAGTCAACATTTTGAATAGTTCAAAAATTAAAGGTTGTAGGATTAAAGAAATTGATTCTTTGCCACAAACTAGATTTTTTTTATCCTGATATCTTGATGGTGTAAATCTGTTATATTTCAAACTAAGATTATTTGATAAAACATTCATAGTTTGAAATATCTAAGGTCTACCACCTAGGGTTGTGAAGATAAAGAAATTAGAAAATCAGAGTTTGTGGCAAAGACTTAATTATTTTGCTGTCTGTGTGTTTCAATTGCTCACTTGAATCCTATAAATTCGGTAAACCGATTATGCAAATTTTATAACTCCACAGGGAAAGATATAGCAACCAAAAAAATGTTCCCTAAACAAAATTTTGCTCGTTTAAGAATTTCGGAAATCCGACATCGAAAACAGAAAAATCCGCGAAATTGTTATTTTTCAAAATGTAAGATATAAGCTGCGGCGCGTAGCACCCAATAAATCTTGTTTTGAATGTCTTGAATATTGTTTTATAAACTGCGAAGTTGAATTTAAAATTAAACGGAAAAGTTTAAACAGTTAGAAACTTAAAGAATGCTTTTACAACATCAAGTTAAATTATGCAAAATAAAGGGTCTCTGCTCTTAAAGTAGATAAAGCAAAAAATGGTAAATAAGGCGATGTTCTTTAAGGCGTACCAGTAACTCTGCATCTTTCATTTGAGACGGCAGGACCAGCCCTGAAAACTGGGTTTTTAAGAATGAATGTGCTATCAATGTTTATTTCTCATAAACACGGTTATTTTCAATTGTTGCATGCCTTCTTTAAATAATGGATCACTTGCAATTGCAATGAATGTCCCTTCAAAACTTATTTCATTTTTCTGATCCTCCTCTTTTCGTTTTTTTTGTCCGATGCTGAATTGTTTATACAATACTACAAGAACATTATGTTTACATATTGGTCTATATGTCATTATACGGGAATAAAGGTAAACAATTCTTCAGTTTTTGTGTTATTACATTTTCTTTTTTTTTATCGATATTGTCAATATTTGTTCTGTTATAAGAACAATAGAATATACTGTCTGAATACTCAATCAACCCAACATTATTTATAATGTAAACAACTAGTTTCCCATAACAAATACACACTTTTCATTAATAATATGTATGAACATTCCATATATAAAGGGTTTTAATAAAAAGTTATCCTGGTATAGGGACAAATGTTTTACACATTTTTTAAAAAAGATCTGGGATTATTAGTTCACCTTCCTTTTAAGTATGAATGCCATCATATTTCTGAATAATTCAAAAACTTATTTGTACAAAGAAGTCATAGCACACTTTGAAACCCCAGTTGTAGTGCTATTTCATGACAATTGTTTAAAAATTATATTTAAAAATCAGATAAATTCTTTCTCTACTGATTAAATGAAATAACCATTTTACCGATATTTTCTAATCCCTATATTTTTACAACCTAATGGTGTAAACCTTTAAATTTTCAAGCTTTAGCTATTTAACTAAGTCAGGTTAAAAAAATATCAGAACATTTGAGTTTGAGGCAAGAGTTCAATTCCTTTATATGTTCATAAATAAAAGTTAATTTTGATTAAAGTCTTTTTTTTTTGGGATTTTACAGTAATGGCAAATATTATTATTTTAATCTGAAATAATAAAAATTTATTAACAGACAAGATTTATTGATAAACGGACATCCACAGTATGTTGTACAATACATTTAAAATCTCTTGTTGGCACTTTCCCTGAATTTTTTTTTATTTTGGGGGGGGGGGGGCACTTTATTCCAAAGTTTGAACACGTTCGAAGATTCAGATCTATTTAAATATTTGGCTATGGTGTTTATTTTTTGTTTGGTTGTAGGCAATTAACGTCAAAACAGGAAAATCTTATGACCCCAGGGATGATTTAAAGTTGACCGAAATAAAAAATTTTCGGCCAAAGCCACCTTTTAAAATCCACTAATCTAAAAGAAAAATCTGCAAAAATTTGTATTTATTGGAGAACGATCTAATAAATGCGGAAACCAATTTTTTAAAAAATCCTTTCGATAATTTAAAGACAAGCAACTTTCTTTTTTCTTTTTGCAAAACTAAAGCAAACACTATTATTCAGGAATGGAACTGGGAAGGGAAAAGGAGATAGAAGCTGTATTCCAAAGGAACAAAATCATTTATTTTACGATTACACAGTTAATAAAACAGTCATAACTCTAAAAAACCAGGGAACCAGGGCCAAAACTTTAATGCAAAGAGAATTTCACTTTACTCAGTGTGGACTAGGGTCAATTTGAATTTGAACCGGACCGTCCCCTCGGATCAGCCTTAGTGACGCCCGGCCAGTACCGGACCGACCCCTCGTATCAGCCTTAGTGACCCACAGCCAGTACAGGCCCGACCCTATCCTATGCTGGTTCGGTTACAATTTGATAGAACGGCCAGACTTTTTACTGTACCCGGCCTAGTGGGGTATGACCCAAATAGATTCTAGTACAATAGATAGCACCGTAGAATTTGTACACTTTCAGCACAGCTGTATTCTGACGTCACAATTGTCAACTCAGTTTTTGTGTCCGTCAAAATTGTTTATAATAGTATTAATTTTAGAATAAAGTAATTTTCATACAGTAAAATAAGTGTAATTTTATCTGTTCTTTATTTTCTGTTTTTACACTTTTTATTTAATCTTTGAAAACGTGTTAAATGTGAGTAAATTTCGTTTTTCTTGTTACATTTGACACTTGTGACGTCGTGTATAATTGGTTCATTTGTCTGTTGCCACCTATTGTACTTGATAATCTATTTGGTATCACCTAGTGGGGTACCCCATTAGCTTATTTTAGTGTTACTCAAACGTTACCAAAGCTGTAACATTTGATGTTACCATTTATATCATTATCTATATGTTTGTCTATTTATCTATCTGTTTGTCTATTTATCTATATGTTTGTCTATTTATCTATATGAAATCATTTATCTATCTATTTAATTATTTATGTGTACGTCTAACTATCTGTTTAATACTACTTCTACTACTATCTACAAGGGGATGTACCCCAACTAAATGATCTGGGTTTAAGATAAATTATCAGCGAAGGTTCTCAGTGCCTAATGCAGAGGATACAGAGTCTAAGGTAAATAAACAGATAGTAGATAGATAGATAGATAGATAGATAGATAGATAGATATATTTTATAGATAAATATATAAATATATAGATAGAACAAAAGAAAGATAGATAGAAAAATACATAAATAGAACGATTAATAGATATGTATATATATATATATATATATATATATATATAGCTGCAGTAGATACAATAAAAGATAGATGAGTGCAGTTCTGAAAAATATTTCAAAGCATGCTAGAAATAAATGTTATCATTAGCCAGGCATCTAAACCGTAGTATATAATATATCATGTATTTATCATATATATATATAGTATTTGTATAGTTCCTTAGTAAGTAGTACATCGCTGCTCGTTAATATACAATCATGCACATACGTACATATACCATATATACCAATTTGTCTATATATTTATATATAATATGTTCGCTATAGGTGGGCAAATGACTGGACCGATTTGGTTGACATTTTTCCAAAATGTTTTTGAAATTACACGGACAACTCCGGGTACTTCACTTATTATCTATATAATAAGCTTATTCGGTTATAAATATACACTAGCTGTAGTGCCTGGCGGTGCCCAGGTTTATATTTTAATTCATAGTCATGGTTACTGCCAAAGTTTTCTTGCGCATGGTATTAAACTATGAAATTTAAAAAAAATCTGCCAATTTGGTCTAGACGTTTGGCCAGCTTTAGAGAACATATATAAATTTACATATATAGAGCTCTAGCCCTGTGGTAGAGCAGTACCAGCATCCAATCTACCAATGTAAATATATTTACATATATAGAGCTCTAGCCCTGTGGTAGAGCAGTACCAGTATCCAATCTACCAATGCATATATATTTACATATATAGAGCTCTAGCGCTCTAGCCCTGTGGTAGAGCAGTACCAGTATCCAATCTTCCAATGTATATATATTTACATATATAGAGCCATAGCCCTGTGGTAGAGCAGTACCAGTATCCAATCTACCAATGTATATATATTTACATATATAGAGCTCTAGCCCTGTGGTAGAGCAGTACCAGTATCCAATCTACCAATGGCCAAGCTTCAGAAAACAAAAGAGCCAAAGACGACATTCTGTGGCAGGTAAAAACATATATGATTATTCTAATCAAGAAAGAAAAGTTATTCTCTGTTAAAGAAATATTTTCATTACGAAAAAAATGTGTTCAGAAGAAACGTTATTTTATTATTCAAAAAGTTTTAAAGATAAATTATAAATTAAAAAGAAAGTACCATTTGATCCAATTTTAAAAATATTTCTTCGTTTTAAAACTATTTTTATTCTCTTTACGCCTTATTTCTGCAGCTTTATTAGAGTATTCAATATACTTTGTGATGACTGGACACATTTTAACCAGCACAGCAGTTTCTATTTAACCTAGGAGACCAAAATTTAAACTTCTTCACAAATTAGAATTTAGAAATAAGCTTTTCTTACATTTAAGAATATCTTTAAGGGGGAGTTTTGTAATTTCTTATAGTAAAATTTACTTAAACAATTATTATTGGTATTATTATTATTATTATTATTATTATGGTTAATATTCTTATTATTGTTATTGTTATTATTAATATTATAAAAAATTCAAAAATATCAGACAGGTCTGCCGCTGTAGCAATGGTAAATTAGCGGTACAGTCCAAAAACTAGGACCACAAAGGTTGACCCAGCTCGGATATTCAAATGTACACCGGTTGTGCGTCACATTGATAGGCCACACTGTCGAGTTCTAGTTCCAGGTGTAACTTTGGACCACAATTTGAACAATTAAACAATATTTTTTCGAGGTTTCTCATTTGTTCGTTTTCGTAAACGTATGCGTGTTGAATGCAAAAGACAACTCTAACAGTGTAAAGATTGTTGAATTGTAAACCAAACCCCTAAACTCCAAATTATGTAAGGTAATGTAACCAAACCCCTAAACTCCAAATTATGTAAGGTAATGTAACCAAACCCCTAAACTCCAAATTATGTAAGGTAATGTAACCAAACCCCTAAACTCCAAATTATGTAAGGTAATGTAACCAAACCCCTAAACTCCAAATTATGTAAGGTAATGTAACCAAACGCAACAAACCTTGGAAGTGCACTTATTTTGATGATAAATCTAATTTACAGTGTACATTGGAAGTTTTCATTTTCTCCAAAAACTTTAAGCCTAAACGCAGAATTTTTAAGAAAAAATCTCAAAAAAGGATTTTGAATCACCCGGTTCTATGTGCGTGAAAGATTTAAGGCTGAGTATAAAACTAGGAGACATAATTGGAAATTATTCTGAACAGAATAGGATGAATACAAATGATTCTGACAATGAATGAATATACAGAATGAGATGAATACAAATGATTAGGATGAATGAATACAAAATGAGATGAATACAAATGATTCTGATGAATGAATGATTACAGAATGAGATGAATACAAATTATTAGGATGAATGAATGAATACAGAATAGGATGAATACAAATTATTATGATGAATGAATGAATACAGAATGAGATGAATACAAATGATTAGGATGAATGAATGAATACATAATGAGATGAATACAAATTATTCTGATGAATGAATGAATGCAGAATGAGATGAATTCAAATGATTAGGATGAATGAATGAATACAGTATAGGATAAATACAAATTATTCTGATGAATGAATGAATACAGAATAGGATGAATACAAATGATTCTGATGAATGAATGAATGCAGAATGAGATGAATACAATTTATTCTGATAAATGAATGAATACAGAATGAGATTAATACAAATGATTAGGATGAATGAATACAGAATGAGATTAATACAAATGATTCTGTGCATCCAGACTTTTTGAAGATACAAATCTATTGTGAAAAGTTCAGGATAAAATGTTTAATTCCTATAATTTCTTCATTGTATAATCTCTATAATTTGTTTTCTGTATAATTTTTGCAATTTCAATAATTTCTTTACTCTCTTATTTCTTGAATTTCTTTACCATCCAATTTCTATAATTTCTTTAGTCTTTACAATCTAATTTCTATGTTTTTTTAACTGTCTAGTTTGTAAATATATATGCGAATAGGTATATTGGCATACAGAGTGTCCCAGACCATCTAGGATGCAATTTTCCAAATTTATTCAATCTAATATAGGATAGTTTTCAAATTGGATGATGGCTTTACTTCCGGTGAAAGTTCTAGTATTTAACCTAACCATACCAAATTCTTATACAATGGAACCCATACAGCTGTGGACTAGGACTACGTCTTTTATTAGACTCAAGTTCTGATTTCAAAAAGTAACATCAACTCACGCAAATCTTCCCCGTTAGTAAAAGTAAATTCAACCATGAAGCATAAAGTCTGACCGCGTCAACCTTGTTGTACCGGCTAGTCATGTCCATAGAGCTAGATACAGTACAAACTGGGACCGGAAAGGTTGACCCGACTCGGAAATTCAAATGTACTGCGGCTGTGCCCGTGAACAGGAAACTAAACAATTTTACTTATCAAGTTATTGTCCAAGCTACTATTAAAATGATTTGCTTTATAAGAAAATAAAACACACATAAGGTTGCTTAAAGAGCCTGTCACGGGCAGCCATAGTACATTTGAATTTCTGAGCCGGGTCAACCTTTCCGGTCCCAGCTTGTACTGTGCCTAGCTCTATGGACATTGGACACGACTAGCCGGTGCAACAAGGTTGACGCGGTCAGACTTTATGCTTCATATAGGTAGGGCTGGGCACGTTCCGACTTTTTTGAAATCGTTCCGTTCCGTTCTAGAACGAGGGCCTTCAGCTAAATCGTTCCGTTCTCGTTCCTCTTTTTTTTATCGTTCCGTTCTCGTTCCGTTCCGTCCCGTTCCGTTCCGTTCTGAGTAGAAGAACGGTCTTCCCGTTCCGTTCCGTTCTTGGCGTTCTTAGATGAAGAACGGTTGCATCCTTCTTGTTCTGTTCTTAATTAAGAACGTTTCCATCCCCCGTTCCGTTCTTAGTAACTGAACAAGTTCTTGATAATAAGAACGCGTTAACGATTTTAACCGTTCTTTTCACGTTCCGTTCCGTTCTTTTACTAATCGTTCCAATATTTTTAAGAACGCGTTCTAAGCGTTCGTTTTTTTTCGGAACGATGGGATCGTTCTTGATCGTTCCGTTCGTTCTCGGGAAAGAACGATCGTTCCACCGTTAACGCGCCCAGCCCTACATATAGGCTGAATTTACTTTTACTGAAGGGGCAGAGGTGCATGCTGTAGCGTTGTTTCAAGTCACCTTCCATTTAAAGAGGATCATTCCAGATTCACAACGGTACCATTTTAACCTTTGACTGTTCAAGGTTGTTGGACATATTCCTACTGAAATGCTTTATTTGCTAAACACTTTATTTGCACGGTTTAAATTTAAAGTTAAATTTTCTTCTAAATGTTTGAAAATGCTGTGAAGGTAAAACAGTCGATTTACTTTTGACTTGACTTACTCAAGGAAAAAAATCAGCTGTTCTAAGTTCAGACTATACACAGCGTTTTTAGATGAATACAAGTGGGTTTCGATATGTTTTGAACACCTCTCTACTTAACAGTCAACTATTTCAAGGGTACCGCAGTGAATCGGGTATTACTCTCTTTACATGGAGGGTCATTTGAAATTACAATTACAAGCATTTTTATTGTCATCTTTCTATTCAATAGCTTTATGTGTTCCTCTGTTTTTAGTGTCAGCCGGAGGACAGATGGACCTCCTTCACCCGTCGAGGACACGACAGCGAAGAAGTCCCCTGGGACAACTGGAGGAGGAGGAGAGAAGGCCTAGTCTAGCAGACCTACAGGTACCATTAAATTGGTTAAAATTGGAAATACGATCCAAAAATGATCGCTATAACATTTTTGGGTCATTTTTGGTTTAGCTTTCGTCTGTATTTTTTGTTTCAATGGCATTGTAAGAGATGCATTTTTTTTTGAAAATTTGAAATACAACTATTTGCTCTGGAACAATATTAAATACGATAAATTATAATTCATAATTATAATTCGCTCATATATGTAAATATATTTGTTGGTTATGGCAGACCAAAGTCGAACAGATAGCCCGAATTGGCTGAAATTTTTAAAGGAAAATCTAATTGTTTTTCAAAATTTGTAATTTCGAAAATAATTTTTTTGAATTTGAAAATATTTTAAAATATTTTTCACAGGCAAGGCAAGCATATCAGCTAGTAATCTACACAATCATTAAAAGAATGACGAGATTTTTCTGATTCTTTTTGCTAAACCCAAAGACATCGCTTTTATCAGTTTACATTTTTTTTTACTTTTTATGAAAACCATGTTTTCTTGTGAAATCAATGGCGCAACAATGACGCAACTGAATTTTAGCAAAAACGGGAAGCTAAATTTCGAATCGAAGCCGGTAAATATTGAAATTTTGCTCTCAAGCACAAACAAATTTGTAATTCTACATTTTCATCACTGAAAAATCCGGTTCATTTCAAGCACTGCACCGGGCCGTATTTTAGCCAGCTAGAGGAAGCTGTATACATACTATGTAAGGCAAACACCGGGACGGTACAGTACGCAAAATGAAAGATCTCCTTCTAGTGAAATTTATGTGATATGATGCTTAGTTCTGAACTACGTTCCCCTTCCCCTTGTCTCCTATAGAGAAAATGCACTGCATACATTATAGTTTCACAGGTCTAATGGTTCTGAAAGAAATTAAACAGCATCATAAAGAAAATTAAGAAAACTTTAAACTTTCTCTGGATTTTAATCAAATCCAATATGGAGGTTTGCAAGTTGAGAAAACGTGGAATTTTCCAATTTAGTATTTTTCAACGGCAGCGAACCAATAATTCAATTTGATACAGTGAGAACCAGAAAACTGCAGAATAGAAAGACTACATTAAAGTAATGATTACGTGTATTTGATGTCGCAAAGCGTATTGTTTTGCAAAATTTTTATTTGACTATTTAATGTATAAACATAGTCTTCATATTCCTTAGTTTTACGGTTTTCACTGTATCATGTACAACAGACTTTGTAGATATTTGCTAATAATACAAAAATTCGCGGGTAATACAGAAATATGCCAGGCAATATATATGACAATGCACATGCTATACAAAGAGACGCAAAAAGAAGAAAAATCAATTATTTCTTGATTTTATGGAGAAAGCTGGTGGTGACGGTATTGCAGTGCCCTGTCCTCTACTGGTTCTCTAATTGTCCTACACCCTTGTAATGAAAATGCAAGGCTTGCTTTTATGAATTCACCGCATTTAATTCAATTCAATATCTTTAGCCAAAAAAAAACTCTGCAGATTCGACCCATCAAAAGACATCTTTGACTAAATTAATATTCCGCTAGATTTTTAAGATGACATACAGGGAAACCCACAAAACATGAAACTTCAGAGACGACTGTACTGATTTTAAACAGTTTACGATTCTTTGCCAAATCAAACTTGGAATAGTAATTTTATAGCCAATAGCCAATTTATTCGTGTTTACGGTCATATTCTTTGTAGGTAACCCTGCAAGGTTTCTTCATTAAGTTAGTGTTGTGTTCACTTCTGATCGGCAACAGAAAATACACTGAAATTTTGCAGGGACAAATTAAAAATACGTTTTTTTTTTACAGTGGTCAGCGTTCATATCAATACAATGAAGAGTTTCAAGTTTATTTGAAGCATTTTTGTTGATTGATTGATTGATTGATTGTTTAGGCTGAAGACCGGGAGAGACGACCTAGTCTAATAATGTATCAAAGCGAGGATACAGAGCACCCTGATGTTGTGGCTCTTCAGAAACTTGTAGATAGGTTACACTTCTCAGAACAGACGTAGTGATCACACTTCTCAGAACAGACGTAGTGATTACACTTCTCAGAACAGACGTAGTGATTACACTTCTCAGAACAGTCGTAGTGATTACACTTCTCAGAACAGACGTAGTGATTACACTTCTCAGAACAGATGTAGTACTTGATTTACTTCTCAGAACAGTTATAGTACGTGATTACACTTCTCAGAACAGTTGTAGTACTTGGATTTACTTACTTACTTGGATTTACACTTCTCAGAACAGACGTATAAGACAGATTAATATATAAATATTGATTTATGTTTGATTCTATAACCCCTTTCAAAATCCGTGAGTCAGCTCTTCAAATGTGTGTATTCTGACCTATATAAGGCTATTTCAGATACTTTCATTTGTAAATTGTTTTATTTTCGGTCAATAAAAGGCAGGGATCATTGATTTTCCCATATTTTTAACAGTTTAGATAAAAAGATTACAGGAGCAAATGGGGTAACAGAGATTTTACCATTTTTTCATGTTTATTTTTAATTCACTTTTGTAAGTGGATATAATATAAATGAGTCGTAATGATAAAGGAACGGACCACTCGCAACATACTCTATTTTTTAATGCTAAACCCTTTTCAACTTGGTGTGTAGATCCTTTACAGTTTTAAGCATCAAAGTATCAGACTGCAAAGATATTAGAATTTGCTGTGAGTATTCACTTCCTGCTAAAAGTTTAAAAAGAAACGAAAAATACAAAGAAAAAAGTCTTTTCAATCGAAAATTAAAAGTGTAACTTTCTTTAATTCAAATTAAGCGCGTATAATGTGTATATATATATAATCATCATTTCTGTCAATTTGCACACTTTTAATAACTGTGAAAGTTTAACTTAAAAATCAATTTGTATTGTGTAAAAATTATATATTAACTCTGTTTAAAATAAGACAAGAATTTAATAATAAATACATAAATAAATAGTACTTTAAAGTACTTTAAAGACACTGTCAGCGTCATTAAAGTGACCTCCATTAAAGATTACTGCAATGCTTGATTTACAACGATACCTTAGAAACCTTAATCTGATAATAAAACGTCGTTTTTCTGACTTAAAGAGTTTTTCATTTCGTCAGCTTTGCATTGAGTGTCACTTAAAAATACGCGTACAGGTGCTTTTATTCTTAGAATAATTAGAATCAAATAGATTATCAAGCATACGATATAGATGGTAACAGAGACATAGATTAATTATACATGACGTCACAAGTGTCAAATATAACAAGAAAAACGAAATTTTCTCACATTGGTTGACACGTTTTCCAAGATTAAATAAAAAATGTAAAAACAGAAATTAAGAACATATAAAATTGCATTTATTTTAATGTAAGATAAGCACTGTATTCTTAAATTATCATTATTATTCATAATTTTGTCGGTAACAAAAACCAAGTTGACACTTGTGACGTAAGAATACAACTGAACTGAAAGTGTACAAATTCTACGTTGCCATCTATTGTACTAGAATATAAGATTACACTGCCTTGTTTTTAAGCAAAATTTCAAAATATATTTAATCACAAAAAACACTGTAAAACCATTTTAAATATACATTTTCAATTTAAAAAATGTACAACTAATGTAAACTTAATAAGATTGTTTACAAATTGGAATAATTTTATTTTCTAATAAATCATGAAATTAGAAATTTATTGTTTCTTGAAACAGAACAAAATGAAATTCGCCATATTTGAAGTTGTACATTTCTCAGTAGAGTCCAGAGGAAATGAATTGAATTAAGTTAGTGGGTTAAAGTAAATGGTCAAGGTGTTGTTACACTTAAAATCGTCCCAGGCAAGAAAACTTTTCACAGCTTTCCGGATGTAAGTGCACGTTGGATGCTCTCCTACCGTTGGGACTCAATTCAGTTCAAAGACATATGCTTTCCTTTATTTATTAAGTGGAAAAATGGCTAGACCGCGAAGCCATCCCCTGAAAGTCTCCCTACGTAAGATGCCATTATTTTATCATATTAGATTAGATAAAACTGTGTAATACGAAGACGGTTACTGTCGACTCAAGTTTGAATTAGTCAATCATATAATAATCAAAGTAACAGATAGGACACTAGATGTCGTCTTTTCAAGATTTATTAGTATTTCGTTCACAATAGCCCGGTTTGTTTGTCCGGTTCTAGCTATGATTTAGCTGCGACTTCCTAGCTTAGCTATGATTTTGTATTCGTTAGTCCAAAATCAGAGCAAGATCGAAGCTTAGGTTAGATCTGAAGTCGGAGCTAAATATCAGCTGAAAATCAGCTGATGGAAATCACACCTGAGGTTGGATTTAGCTTCGACTTCACAGCTAAATCACAGCAAATGGGAACAAACTATTCGCCATTTTTAGGTTNTACCCAATATCATGTGAAAACCTAAAAATGGCGAATAGTTTGTTCCCATTTGCTGTGATTTAGCTGTGAAGTCGAAGCTAAATCCAACCTCAGGTGTGATTTCCATCAGCTGATTTTCAGCTGATATTTAGCTCCGACTTCAGATCTAACCTAAGCTTCGATCTTGCTCTGATTTTGGACTAACGAATACAAAATCATAGCTAAGCTAGGAAGTCGCAGCTAAATCATAGCTAGAACCGGACAAACAAACCGGGCTATGATCTCAAATCATAGTCAGAGTCAAAGCAAGTTACAGCTCGATAAACAAACCGGGCTAATAACTCTGAGGCGGAAGCTCAAAGGAGTTACGACGCGTAGTCAGCATAGAACAGGGTATCTCTCTTTCTTGTAATTCTACAGAGAGAGAGAGAGATCCTTCAGTTCTACGCCGACTGCGCTAAATTCATTTGGGATTCTGCCTCAGGGTTATTGCGAACGAAAACACATAAATCTTGAAATGACGACATCTAGTGTCCTATCTGTTATTTTAATCTATAATCTTTTGGGCAATGGAACTTCTTTTTAAAAATAGTTATGTTTAAAATAATTTTTAAGTTTGAATCCAAAATCAAAAATTTATTTTATTTAACTTTAACACCTTTTAAAAGTTTATTTTATAATTCAAAAATCATCAACTTTGTCCAGAGCCCGCGATTTAAAAACTTCGAGTCGTAATTCCTTAAACCCGACTTTAAGACCCAATCTTCGACCCAACTCTAACGACAGCTTGTGTCACTTGATGGACAGCTGCAAGATCTTCGGCTCGACTTAAGGAGTTTGGTCCAATGAAATAAAACCGACCTTGCTTCAATGTTGAGTATTGTTCTTCCCATCCTTATGGGCCCCAGTGTACGAATTCTTGAGCTCACTGAGATCAAGTTAACGATTAGTTATCTTATTCTAGCACTGTATGGTGAATATATTGGATAAGCCCAGGGCTGAACCATCTATACAATATGTCATGTTAGGATAATTAATTTCCTCTTCATCGCTCCTCTAGCCCTATACTCCTAGTCCTATCCATGGATTAATGTATATCTAGGCTCAAGCTTCAGTAAATAAAATGTATATACAATATACTAAATACTAGTAATATACTGTACATACAATATACAATATACTAAATACTAGTAATATACTGTACATACAATATACAATATACTAAATACTAGTAATATACTGTACACACAATATACAATATACAATATACTTGTAATATACTGTACATACAATATACAATATACTAAATACTAGTAATATACTGTACATACAATATACAATATACTAAATACTAGTAATATACTGTACATACAATATACAATATACAATATACTTGTAATATACTGTACATACAATATACAATATACTAAATACTAGTAATATACTGTACATACAATTTGCAATATACTAAATACTAGTAATATACTNAAATTCTAGGGGGGGGGGGGGTAAATAACCCCAATAACCCCCCTTATGACCGCCACTGAGCATACAATATACTGCATCCTAGTTATATACTGTATACAATATACTTAGATATACTAATAATATACTGAATTCAATATACAATATACTACGTAATAGTAATATACTGTATACATTAAACTGCATACTAGTAATATACTGTAAAAGTAAAAGTAAAAGTAAAAGTAAAAATTCATTTATTTATGAAAATAACAAAAACAAGCAAAATAAAGTGTTTCAACATAATTACATACTAGTTATGTGTACAATATACTACATGTATACAATATACAATATACTACATACTAAAAATAGACTGAATACAAACTATGACTAAAGTAATAAATCATATACAATATACTATATCAGTAAAATACTGTATACAATATACCGCATACTAGTGAGATACTAGCCTACCACCGCAATATATTGTGCATGTACATTGTACATGCACATTGCAAAATGAACTCTATACTAAGACGGTTACCAAACTAAGAAGAGATTTTAAGGACGGCCAATAACTCTCGTCGAAATCCTCAAACCTTCAAAATTTGTAAGTGCCCATTTCTTTAAGATAAAACAATTAAATTTTTTTTGGCCACGTTCAGGCAAAAATAGAATAGCAAATTTTTGTAAAATGGAAAAAAGTGTTACAGTTCTTTGTTCTTAAAAATGTATCTATTTTTTTACGCGCATGTTTAAATATTCTAAGTAACGAATGTCGGGAATTATTATAGTTTATAGAACTTTATATTAGTTTGTAGAACTCATCGAGATATTAAAATTAAAAAAACAACAAGGGCGGCTTATGATATTTCCCAGATGGGGAAATAATTGAATTATTGCGCACGAAGCGCACCAACAAACTTTATACTCTCACCTGACCAAAAATGGATTGTTTACAGGGAATTTTGTTAATATTATGTCAAAACTATGACTAGGAGGGAGGAGGGTATTTAGAGTGAATAAGTGGCGAATGGAAGGGCGATGATTTCGATGTGACTCGGACGAGAAAATGAGGAGTTAATGGCTCGGACGAGAAAATGAGGAGATAATGGCTTGGACGAGAAAATGAGTAGATAATGGCTCAAAATAAGGATTTCCATTTTTTTAACTGTTAATTTGGGTATGTGAATGTCGTATGGAACCTTTCTAGAACCTGTTTAAAATGCGAGTTGATAAGAATTATGAAAGATTAAGGACAGACCGCTGAACCTTCCTTATGAATGTTAATTGTTAACCATTGATGAACCATCTAGACGTTTAAATAACTACACAAGAATTAGAGATGCAAATCCTATTTAAAACCTGCAATTTAATTTGTATTTTTGAGCACCGCATTTAACAACGATAGTTCACATTTTCGTGCACCACATAAACACGATATATAACGTCTAAAACTTCAAAGCAGGCCTGAAAACGATGCCCATCAGTAGATCACTGTGATATGAAGGTCTCGCTCGATCTCTCAAGCAAAAAAAACGACGAGAATTTTGCCTATTACTTCTTAAAAACCAAAGCTAATAATTTATAGAGCTAAAATGTACATGGACAGGGCTATACAGAAAGTCGTCAGTGAGTTAGATCGGTAAAATCAAATCCCGAGGTGTTGTGACACTTCAAAGTGGACAATAAATTGATGAAACTGAATCTATGTGAGATGATTATTATTGAATCAATTCGAACTAAAAAATTATTCCGTTGAGTTAAATTCTTTTGAGAGATTTATTAAGAAAGGTTCCACCCTAAATTTCCAACAAATTTCAGATATAAAGGATCCGGAACTAAAGATTATAAAGGATCCGGAACTAAAGATTGGAAACCCTACTCAGAGTTCTAAATCTGTTTTGATGCTTGAAAATAGAATATTTTGTTGCAAATGTTCTTTTTATCGTTATTTGCTTGAATTATTATTATATATTTCAATATTTATTACAGAACTCAGACAACCTTATCGTGAAATCAACCAGAAAAGAAGAAACTTTTAAGTAAATTAAATAAATAAAAACATTTGAAATCCGTCATATTTTCCAAATATTTTTAGAACATTAGAATGGATTAATTTTTTATGATTTTTATGAGGTGAAAGATCAGGAATATAATAACTCAGAAACATTTCATCATTGTAAAATGTTAGCGAACTTTTTTAAATAAAATTGTCAAAGATGATGATTTCACACATTTTTTCTGGCCAAAGGAATGGAGTATTTGCCACAAATTTAATTTTTGTAATCTCTTTATCTTTGCAACCTGATAATGTAATTAGATTAGATTAGATATTTCAAACTTAGAATATTTGATCTAACAGCATTCATAGTTTGAAATATCAAAGGTTTATGACATTGTGTTGCTATGATATATGAATTAGAAAACTTGAGTTTGTGGCAGAGACTCAATTACTTTGTTTCATTTTGACGGTTTAAAAACCTTCCCTAGGGTCAAGTTAGTTGCCTTAAAAAAATGGGCCCGATTGGTTTGGCCGTTTAAACCAGAAAGCAAAGTATACAGATAAAAATTGAAATTTGAAAGAAAACGAAATGAAAAGGATTATTGAGAGAACATAATCAACAAGACAGAAGGAGTGGGTCATTTATTAAACAACTTTGTAACTTCGTAGAACCTTTGATATTTAACACACAAGTATGAGAAGACAAAGGAAATGAGTCTTTGCCGCAAACTCAAATCTTCTAATCTCTATATCTTATAAATCAGATGGTCTACAAAATGGTTGCAAAGATATAGAGATTTGAAACTCAGAGCTTGTGGCAAACACTCAATTCCTTTATTTTGTTACATTTCAGAAATTCAAATACTCTGTGCTTCTCAATAGCTTGTCAATAGCTTGTCAATAGGTTGTCAATAGCTTGTCAATAGCTTGTCAAAAGCTTGTTGTCAATAGGTTGTCAATAGGTTGTCAATAGCTTGTTAATAGCTTGAAGGTAAAATTAGTAAAAATTAAATTTTTTTTATTATTTTTAAAGTTTAAATAAAAAGATTGGTTTACATTTAGAAATTTTAGTTGGTATCTCAAGGCGTGTTTATTCCTCAGGCACGATTTAATCCTAAAAAAATACAGAATTAGAGAAATCAAAAACCATTTATTTTAAAAAATCTATTGAATGAAATAATATTAATTACCACTACTGATCAAGTAGGAAGAATTCAGATTGTATTTTTATCTATTATGTAATCTGAAGCAATGAGCATTTAAAATGTAGTATGCACCAAAGTTTAAAATCTACTTTAATTATAATGTAATACTTCGAAAATTGAAAATCTTGAAAAGCTTGTATTTTAAGTTGAATTTAAGTTAAAAGTAAGTTGTTGCCTATAAAGGATATGACTGAAAAGACGACCTAAAACTTTTAAAATACTACGTTTTCAAACTTAAATATATTATTTAAATATGAAAATAGTTTGTATGCCATTTTTAAAGATTGCACAAAAAAAAAGAAATATACCCTGTATTATTGGTCATAATATGTAAAATGATTATAAAAAAATTAAGAAATTCGGTTTAGTCGTTCCTGTACACTGTACAGAACTAACCATGGGTCTGCTAGAGTTAAGAATTTGTTTGTTTTAATTGCATTCTGTTTACAAGCTAATAACAGTTCTTCCTCTTCACAGTTTATCTTGCAGTAATGTAACTGAAACATCTTACTGGATGTCCCAATAAACATGGTAAAAAAGAGACGACTTGAATATCGTTTATTACTTCTGATAATTGAGAAATGGCATAAGGTTCATCAACAATTTCCAAAATATTGTCTACCTTCTTTATATCTTTAAAATCAACGGAGATGTTAAACGTTTGAATAGCTTTGTTGAGTTTTCTTAAACTGGAATCTGGGCAAATTTCCTTTCTCCGTCTAATTTGGAAATTCCAAGAATAGTTCTTTTCGGTGTTAAATGTTTTAACTGTGATAATACAAAATTATGTCTACAAAATAATCCCGCAGGAAACAAAGACAATATGAAAATTGAATGTCGTCATTTAATTCCCCTGTTTATTGGGACACCCTGTACTACGATTTGCAGAACAAAACATCCCTTTACTAGTTTAATAGAATATATGCTAGCAGACGAAATTTATCAAAGGGACTGTTATGGAAAAATAAAAAGGGGGTATAGGCTGAAGCCTAAGCATTTAAGAAGTTGATAGCGCCCAATATTAGTTCTATCTGATGTCCCTGTCTCGAGAAATTGAAAGAGACTGTGTCAATGCTATACCAAAACTCTCTTTTCAGACCATTTAAAATGCGTATTCTTAACAAAGACGTATTCGTCACAGAATTCCAATGTTTATTGGGACACCCTGAAATAATCTGTATATTACCAAGCTGTGTAATATTAACACTGTATGGACAAGAACGCTCCCAACCTCTACCAAGCTGCTGTCCTAAAATTAGAAGAAATTTAATTTTTCACATAAAAACGCACTGATATTTTTAATTTTTTTCCGGTAGCAATTAGTTTTTTAGATCAAAATGTGATGTTCGTTTCCGACGTTTCGTTAACGGTGTTTTTATTTATTTTAAAAGTTAACGTTCCTTAACGATCTCAATGTTATTAACAGCGTTAGCGGAAAATATTTTAGAAATCGTTTTGCTGTTCATAAACGAACTATTCCGTTATTTTTCAAAAACTTCCGTTTTGTTAACGGAACTTTGTCCAGCTCTAATTCTGAGATAAACATAAAGAAACTGACACGTACCTAAAGCCTAAACTACACTAAAATTCGTCTTTTTTTCTAAAAAAAACTTGGGTTTGGGATTCCATGGTCACTCTACTCTTTTATCCATGACTTAATCCAATTCCAATATTGTTTGTATGATACTTATCTCATTTATAAACAAACAAAGGATTTAACCTGTGATAAAGGGATAAAGCCTGATAATTATCAGGAAATTCTTTTTATACCTTACATTGAATGGAATAGATATGACGTCATGTCAAATATACGTAAATAATTTGGTTGTTTGTCACGAACTAAAATTTTCTAATCCCATTATGTTTGCAACCAAATGGTGTAAACCTTTTGATATTTTAGACTTAGTCTATTTGAATTAACATAATTTCTAATTTGATACATCAAAGGTCTACAATATCTGTTTGCAAAGTTGTGTGGCAAAAACTCAACTCCTGTCATATAAGATTAATTTTTCACATTTAAAACTTATTATTTTTTGCAATTTGAAATAGTGAATTTTCGCCTCAAACTCAGATTTTTTAAAATTTCTACTTCTTTGCTGTCCGATTTCGTAGATCTAAACATTCTGTTAAATCAAATAGTCCAAGTTGCTATACTTCATCAGGTTACAAAGATAAAGGATCTAGAAAATTTGAGTTTTTTGACTCTTTTTCTTGAAATTAAAACTAGGGAAACTACGAGGTCACAAACTAGTCGGTAATTTCAGTAATTTCGCGAAAGATTCCCTTTTTTCTAATATATTTTTTTAAAGCACTTCAAATTTGTATTGGCATGAAAACATGGTCGTATGACAGAAACTTGTCCCGATTTGAACTAAGCGAATTTCGCAAAAAGAGTTTTGTTGAAATTAAATAAAAATCCGTACATAAAAGTTGTTGAGCCTAAATTGCACAATTCAGTGTCAGGCTTTTCCCAAAGGTATTTAATCAAGAGCGACTTCCCAAGTGACAACTTCCCAAGTGACAGCTTCCCAAGCAGAAACTTCCCAAGCAGAAACTTCCCAAAGGTTAGGCTAGACCTTCTAAGGCACCACAGGTTGGAATGGGGACCAAGCGCTGCCCCATGGGACCAAGCGCTGCCCCAGGGGACCAAGTGCTGCGGCTAAGGGGCCGAGAGCGCTTGGACAAGAACAGGCTAGAGGACCGAGCGCTGCAGCTAAGACAGACTTGGGAAGTTGCCGCGAGGGAAATTGCACATTTGGGAAGTTGCCGCTTGGGAAAATGCCTTTAGGAAAGTACCTAACATCCACCGTTCTACAATTACCATTTATTCATAAATATTCCATATCTTATTTTAACCTGTTAAATTAAATAATTGATGGATTAAAAGAGAGATTTTTAAAAGATTTTTAGAAATTATCTTTTGTCTTTTATTGGTGACACTTTCTAATTTGCTAAAATTAATTATCTAATCATTGGCTAAAACTTGTTGTCCGTTTCTGATTTACACTAACAGATCGTAATTCATGTTTCTTTTTTGATTTTTTTTACCTGCACTTGAGGTTGAAGTTGAAGATGAAGTTGATGTTGAAGTTGATATTGATGTTGATGGTGATGTTGATGTTGAGGTTTTTGTGGATGTTGAGGTTTTTGTGGATGTTGATGTTGATGTTGAGGTTTTTGTGGATGTTGATGCAGATGTTGATGTCGATGTTGAGGTTTTTGTGGATGTTGATGTTGATGGGGATTTTGATGATGAAGTATATTGTGTTGTTGTTGTTTTTGTTGTCGTTGTTGTTAATATTTCTTTGTTTGGTGCTGATACTGATAATGATACTGATACTGATGGTGAGGTTGATGTTGCCACAGAAGATTGTGTTGATGATGCCAAAGTTGACGCTGAAGATATTGATGATTGAGAGACAGTTGATAATGTTGCTGACGATGTTGTTGTGATTGCTGTTGTTGCTGATGCAGATGTTGTGAGCAGATTGGTCTTTTTTGATTCATAATTAAAATTGTTAAAATTGTCAATTAATTTGATCATTTTCCTGTACTTTCATCTAATACGATCCCAAATGTTAATTGATGATATTAGGGGCAGAAATTAAACATATTGTTGTAAACAATTGGAAGTATGATGTCAAGTTGTAGCAAAAGTCATTATAACTGCAGAACTTTCTGCATGGAAAAGTTTATTTTTCTGTATACTAAAGGTTATCTCTTATTTTGATTACTGATATTTATACATTTTTTAACACCCCAAATGTGCTACACATTTCTGAAGTGTAGTAAACAAAATACTTGCCAAAGTTCACACTGACACAGATATTGTATTACATGCCCCTAAAGTCTTTTTAAAATTATGATTTCCCTGATTTAACATGTCTAGAACTAGCTGAACATTGATGATTTGATTTCTGATGCTGGTAATAAATCCAGATATTGAAGATTTGTATATGTCAAGCGTTATCAATTCACTTGCTGAGCAGGCCTGAACAAAATAAATAGTTTCCTCAAAATTTGAACCGGATACACTAGTTGGGTCTAAAAGGAACATATATCTCGCCTCGACCTTATGGTGTAAATATTTGATTTTTAAGATATTGACTAATTGATCTGACAAAATTTATAGTTTTAAACATCCAAGGGTTTCGACAGGTTGCAAATATATAGGATTTTTAAACTGAGTTTGAGTGTCGAAGCTGTCAAATGTTGCTTGAAGATCACCTTATCTATTCAGCCTGTACAAATCTTATCTGAAAGTTTGATAGTTCGAACAGTTTTCAGTCGGTTTCGAACTCTTTCTTCGAAACATAAAAGTTCATATAATTGGATTTTGCGATCGCAGCTTAATGCAAAAATTAAGTTATACTAAATCAAAAAGGTAAAGCCTTTATGCATAAGTTCTCTGTAGGCTATCAAATTATAGGTTCCCCTAAAAATGTTTGGAGCATATCAAAAATAAACTGAGCAGATATAACAACATATTTTTGGGGGCGATTTTTGTTTGTGAAGTTTGAGGATTTTAAAAAATCGTACATTTCCGCATCTTTTTACATACAAACTTTTAATTTAATCCAAGTAGTTAAACACAATCTCTGGGTCATTTAAGTTGCCATGGAAGCACACTGAGTTGTATGGGAAAAATAAAAGTTTTGATTATAAAAATCAATATTTCTACCTGAACCTGGAGGCTGACCAGCTCGCTACTAAGCTGACCCAGTTTAGAGTTTTCACTCTCAATATTAGAAGAGCTAAAGAATATCAGAAACTCAGACGTCTAAAAACATTTTTCACCAAATATAAGATATTATTGGGATATTTTTTAAACATTACTTAATTGTGATTGATAATTATAATAATGCTCGTCATGTAATTTGTTAACTATGATTGATAAATATAAAAAAAATTGTCATTTAATTTGTTAACTGTTATTGATAATTACAAAAAAACTTGTCATGTAATTTGTTAACTGTTATTGATAATTACAAAAAAACTTGTAGTGTAGTTTGTTAACTGTGATTGATAATTATAATAAAACTTGTCATGAAATATGTTAACTGTGATTGATAATTATAATAAAACTTGTCATGTAATTAGTTAACTGTGATTGATAATTAAAATAAAACTTGTCATGTAATTTGTTAACTGTAATTGATAATTAAAATAAAACTTGTCATGAAATTTGTTAACTGTGATTGATAATTAAAATAAAAACTTGTTATGTAATTTGTTAACTGTGATTGATAATTATAATAAAACTTGTCATGTAATATGTTAACTGTGATTGATAATTATAATAAAACATGTCATGTAATTAGTTAACTGTGATTAATAATTAAAATAAAACTTGTAATTTGTTAACTGTGATTGATAATTATAATAAAACTTGTCATGTAATTTGTTAACTGTAATTGATAATTATAATAAAACTTGTAGTGTAGTTTGTTAACTCTGATTGATAATTAAAATAAAACTTGTCATGTAATTTGTTAACTGTGATTGATAATTATAATAAAACTTGTCATGTAATTTGATAATTAAAATAAAACTTGTATGTATTTGTTAACTGTGATTGATAATTATAATAAAACTTGTCATGTAATTTGTTAACTGTGATTGATAATTATAATAAAACTTGTCATGTAATTTGCTAACTGTGATTCATAATTATAATACAACTTAAAAGTTTTTTAATTGCTTACTTTCTGCAAAAAACCCGCGCATGCCATTAACTGTTTTGGTTCTAATCTAAAATAAAAAATCTTAAAGGTACAAAAAGACGTAATTTTTCAAGTAAGCCCCATTTTATAGAGTGGCATGTACAATACTCACCGGTATCCTTTGATCCGTGTCTGAAAAAAAGAAATCCTTTTTCTTCGATTGTGGTTTCTATGTTAAAGTGACTTGCGTATCAATGTTGAAAAACTAATGAAATTAGTTTTCAGATGAAAAGCACGGATATCACCATCAAATTGTTATTCAGGTAAAGGGCACAGTTGTGAATAGGGAGACCCGTTTGTCTATGTGGATGACATTTGTTTACGTGAATGACATTTATTTACGTCGATGACATTTGTTTACGTGGATGACATTTATTTACGTGGATGACATTTGTTCACGTGGTTACATTTATTTCCGTTGAGGACATTTATTACGTGGATGACATTTGTTTACATGGATGGCATTTGTTAACGTGTATGAAATTTGTTTACGTGTATGACATTTGTTTATGTGGATGACATTTGTTTACGTGGATGAAATTTATTTACGTGGATGACATTTGTTTACGTGGATGACATTTGTTTATGTGTATAAAATTTGTTTACGTGCATAAAATTTGTTTACGTGGATATAATTTGTTTATGTGAATAAAATTTGTTTACGTGGATATAATTTGTTTATGTGAATAAAATTTGTTTACGTGGATATAATTTGTTTATGTGAATATAATTTGTTTATGTGAATATAATTTGTTTACGTGGATGACATTTGTTTACGTGGATGACATTTGTTTACGTGGATGACAATTATTTACGTGGAAACACAGCATAATCTGTAACCAGACAAATTTAATAAAATTAGTATACTCTAAACTTTTGAATTTCAAAAACGAAATTATTTATTTCTTTAAAAAAACCTTCTTGAAGTTGCTAGGACAGTTGAGATTTTTTTTTCCACTTTAGTTAAAGATATTTCTATATCTAGTAGAGAAGATAAACTATTCAACGTTCTGATCTGAAAATAAAATAAAAATCAATAAAATTTTATTCACGTTTTATAAACTTAATTGTACTGCAGTGAGAGTTATACAACTGGGGAATAGACTGACGACATTCTTGATATTTGATATATCGTCTATCTACTACGACAAATTCAATAATACTGAATGTTTCGGGCCGATGCAGTACATATTTGAAAACCGGTTATACTATACAAATCACGAAGTACAAGTTTCTAGAAGTTTCCTTGTTCAATGGACACAGCACCGGCTAAAGGGGTAAATAAGGTGGTGTACAGGGACACACTGATCCTTCTCGCAATAGAGGAAACACAGGGGAATCAGCAGACGACATCTTCAGAGGTTGGTTTGTTAGCAAATAGTTTGGTCCAGTAGCTTCAGAATTAACTCCAATTTTTTAAAGAATTCAAATTCTTTTCTTTTCTTAAATAATTAGCTGAAGTGCCCGGTGTTGCCCGTGGAAGAAAAAATTTCGAATTAAAAAAAAATTGGATTTTAAGAAAAAAATTCAATTTTATGTAGGCACCGGGTTCTTTGAGTTCTTCCGTTAAAAATTTCTGCTAATTCGGTCCAGCCGTTTAACCAGCTATAGCTAACATATAAATATATTCTGCGTCGGATCATTTTTCGTAATGTTTCCCGTTAAAACCAATATACAATTATATATACATGAGCGAAGAGCTTTATAGCATAAAGAACTTACAGGTGAGGTGAAACATTTTTGCATGATTGCTGGCGCCTGATTTTCCAGCTTTGAGCAATCAGAAAACATACTCATACAAGCTCTCCATACAGGGGTTACATCATCCTCAATACTCTTAGCTAGAAGAAAATATATTAAAGGGACTGTAACCGTAATTTCAAGTGACCCTCAATCCAAAGATGACAATACTCAATTCACAACGGTACCCTTGAAACCTTAACCTATTCAAAAATGCGGAAAATACCATCAAATACTTCTTGAAAAGTGTGCTGCGCAGAGAAACCGCAAATGAAAATTAACAGTTTAAAGAAACTAAAACATTAATATCTATAATTCATACTTGATCAGACATAGCTTTTAACCCTATTCCTGCTGGGGGTGGGGGGGTCAAGTTGACCCCCCCCTGTAGTGTTTTTACATAACTCAAAAAGTATTTGTCTGAGGCTGTTAAAATTTTCTGACTTTTCCTACATACCCAAAGCCCTCCCTTTAGGCCTAAAACCGGACTTTAATATTAACTGCCTGAGTCCTCAGGCACACTGCCTGACTGACTGCTTTTTCCTGTAACAAACTAAATCTTTGTTTTGACCCACTTCCACTTGTCAGATTTTGATAAAATTTAGCTTTTTGGAAAGCCTTTGACATAAAGAAACGAATTGCACAAGTTTTTCGAAAAAAAATTGCAAATTTTTTGCAAACAACCTGTCAAAGGAAATTTGTACATTTTTAGTTTTTCTTGATTAAAAATCAGGTTATTTAAAATTTTGCAATTTTTTTTGCATATTTGAAATGGCATGGTCAAGGGCTTTTCAAAAATGTATAATTTTTCCTTTTTTGGACAAATTTTTTTTTGCAAACATTCTTACTTTTTAACTGGATTTTGCGATAAAAAATTCAATTTTTGCAAATTTGCAATTTTTTTGCAGATTCTAAAAGTAGAGCACAAGAGCTTTCCAATGATGTATCATTTGTCATATTTGGACATCAAACATGGGATTTAGAGGGGGGGGGGGGGGTCAAATTGACCTCCCCCCCAGCCTATCCTGGTTTTCAAGTACCCCAGCAGAGATTGGGTTAAGGGTATAACCGTTGTACATTGGGCATTGCATCTTTGCATGGATGGAGGGTCATTTGAAATTACGCGTTTACATAATTTTAAGGAACTCTTAATTTATCATGAGTGGCATGACTGATTCAAAAAGGTACCCTTGTCTGATTATCGACAATAGAGATTATGCTGGCTGAAAACTGAGGGCAGGGGAACTCGAGTGAATATTACACACTTGGTGTTAATCAATTTTAGCCGGGGAAGTAGAGATATCTCCATCGATGAGGATCAGGTAAAGGTACGAAGGGTAAAAATGTGAATCAAACATGCCCGCCTTCCATTCTTTTACTAAGCTCCCCCCCCTTCCATTTTGTTATTAAGCGCCCCCCCTTCGGATGACATTTGTTTACGTGGATGACATTTATTTACGTGGATGACATTTGTTTACGTGGATGAAATTTATTTACGTGGATGACATTTGTTTACGTGGATGACATTTGTTTATGTGTATAAAATTTGTTTACGTGCATAAAATTTGTTTACGTGGATATAATTTGTTTATGTGANTTCATCCTGCAAAAACTCTTGTTTATTACCTATGTTGCATTTCTTAACCGTCGATGAAACAGCCAACATTTCGTCCCAGCAGGAGCAATTCGTGGCAATCACGCCACATGCAGAACTCATCTCCTAGATGTCAAATGAAGGGACGTATAGGGATGGATCGTTTCCTTTTTTTTGAAAACCTATGGTTTCGTTTTAAAAACGACAAAGAAAAAAAAACTAAATATTGTTTTTAAAAAACAGTCGTTTTCAAAAACGATCGTTTTTCGTTAAAAAAAACAACCTTTTTCAAAAACGATCTTTTTTCGTTAAAAAAACAATCTTTTTCAAAAACGATCGTTTTACTTTTTTAAAAAACGGTCGTTTTAAAATTTTAGGAAAACGATCCTTCGTTAACGATCGTTAAAGACCTTTTAAAGAGAAAATACATTTTTTGGGCGGAAAATCCGTGGTCAGAAAACATTCAGGTTATTTGTCTCGATAAAAAAAAACATTTAATACACCATTCCTTCCCCCCCCCCTTATTTTATCCTCAAAAATATGTTGACAATTACAATATGTTGGATTCCCTTAGATATGATTTATCTTGGACATTAAAATACAATACAATCTAGATTTATTTTAAGTCGATATCAGCAAACAATTCTTATTCTTTGATTGTTATTCTATAATAATTTATTAAAAGTCAGGAGCGCAAATAAACTATTTTTTGCTGTAAGACGTTGGGATAGTAAGGGGTTCCTATCAAGTCATTTGTATTAAATTAATTAAGCAAATATATTTTTTTGACAAGATTTGATCTAGGAGAATGTAATCTAATAAGAGAGGGTGGGGGATAGTAGTTACCCCAATGATCCTTGGGGGTGGGGGGGAATGGGGAGTAAGGTATTTACTCCCCTGGTTAAGTGGACGTTTTTACAGTTTTTGGTAAAAATATTTTTTCAAAAATATGATGTGAATTTTCCATAGATAAAGATAGATTGCGCATAAGACGACATTTTTCATCTTGAAAGATATAAATGTACAGAGATGTTTTAAAGATATTCCTATTATATAGATTAACTAGGTCGGTTGTGAACATTGGCTGTTCTTATGTCATTGAGTACTTGTGGTGTACATGAGTTCTGTAGAGACAAATTTAAGTTAGTTTAGTCCTTCTCATGTCCTTCTTCAGTTCTCGTCAATATGATATATTGCTCAGTGAAATATTGTTGTTCAAATAGTTCCTGAGTGGTTTAATAATTATGAAATCAATGAAAACACCACACCACCCCGCTTATCATTGAAGTACACTTTGACCCCTAGAAGTATGAATTCGCGGACTGTACAATTCTTGGTGATTTTGCGTACATAAGCTATCTATGTTTATTTATTTATCTATGGAATTTTCCTCTGACTTGACCTGATAAGAGTACATAGTTTCAGCACAGCTGTCTAGTTCAACCTAGAAATATCCTTTTTATGAGAGCTCGTCATGCAAGAGCTACCAAACAGGGGGGCCCATAAAATGTAGAATAGGAAGACGACAATTAAGCGATTTTCTATCTATTTTATGCCGTTGTGCAGCAAATAATTTTACTATGGTTATAGCTTAAATATGAGCCCAATAGTTCTCGTTTTATTCTACAGTTTTATGAGTCCAACAATTCTCGTCTTATTCTACAGTTTTATGAGTCCAATAGTTCTCGTCTTATTCTACTTTATGATTCCAATAAATCTCGTCTTATTATACAGTTTTATGAGCTTCCAATATTTCTCGTCTTATTCTACAGTTTTATGAGTCCAATAGTTCTCGTCTTATTCTACAGTTTTATGGGTGGGTCCTACTGTTTAGTGTACATGGGACCAACTGTACAATGAGCGAATCTTTAGAGACAGTTTTTTTTAATCTTTGCTTTTAGGTGTATGTTTCGCCAAAGTTGTTTTTTCTAATTTCATTTAAAATAAGATTAATATCTCTCTAGATGTGATATTTAAGTACGCGAAAACATGAACTGGGGGAGGGGTGTAGGGAAGAGTTTAAGAGAAACTCATAGAGATTCTAGTATAATAGACGGCAACGTAGAATTTGTACACTCTCAGTACAGCTGTTTTCTTTCGTCACAAGTGTCAACAGTTTTATAAGTCCGACAAAATTGTTAATAATAATGATAATTTTAGAATAAAGTGACTATCTACTACTATACTAAAATAAGTGTAATTTTATGTGTTTTTTAGTTTTTGATCTTACACTTTTTTATTCAATCTTGGAATACATGACATAGTTGACAACTAATGTGAGAAAATTTCTTTTTTCTTGTTATATTTGACGTTTGTGACGTCGTGTATAATTGGACCATTTCTCTGTTGCCACCTATCGTACTTGATAATCTATTTGAGATAAACCCTTCAAATCATGATTCAGTTGCTCTGTTTCATGTTCTTTTAACTATTTAAAATGTTTAAATGTCGTCTTCCTATGTTTGTTGCAGAAAAACCGTTGAATCAACTATTTTCTTGGTACACTGGACGGGCTGGTTGGTGTCGGATCAAATCGACCACAAAATTGGAATTAAAAAAATGGATTTTTATCGTATTTTTTTATTATTACCTGAGTTGTGTCTGAAACCATGTTGAATTTACCGCAGGTTTCTTGAATCAACCCTTCACAGCTAGATAATTCTTCACACAAATTATAGGCCTGAAATTCAAGCAGTTAATGGGACCGTACAGATTATAGGCCTGAAATTCAAGCAGTTAATGGGACCGTACAGATTATAGGCCTGAAATGCAAGCAGTTAATGGGACCGTACAGATTATAGGCCTGAAATGCAAGCAGTTAATGGGACCGTACAGATTATAGGCCTGAAATGCAAGCAGTTAATGGGACCGTACAGATTATAGGCCTGAAATGCAAGCAGTTAATGGGACCGTACAGATTATAGGCCTGAAATGCAAGCAGTTAATGNCTTGAAAATGTAGTAAGCAGCACTTTTTAGGTTTTCATAATTTCGACCAAAAATTTGGGAAAAAAGTCCAGAAGAGAGTTCAGTCCCTTTCTTTTTAAATAAATTCAATATTGAAATTCAATGCGTTAAACATGTTTTTAAAATCTATATTTTCATATTTAAAACACATCTCTTTCTAATGCAAACCGATACAATATTTACAATGTGATATCTTTTGTGAAGTTAAAAATAGAAATTCTGAAACCTAGAAGACTGGAAGGGGGGGGGGAGATATTGTTCATCTCATTATTTTGTCATTTTCATCAATTTAGAAAAATTCCCGTAAATCTTAAATAAAAAAACACCTAGGGAAATAAAAGGTCGGAGCCTCTGAACGGAAAGGGATAAGAAAATTAGAGTTTATGTCTAGCTTTGTGTCATATGGTCATGTTGCACATATTGTCCATTAGCACCTGATCCAATAAGGGTTCAGTCATGTGTTTGTTGTCTATTCTGAACCAATAGAAATAGTCTGTATGGCGGTATCATCTATCTCTCTATCTATCTCACTCTCATTAGAGATATGAATCCTTCAATCGGCGTAAATGTAAATATTTACTTCTACTGAAACTATAGTGCATATTTTACATTTGTGCGAATCTGTTGCAAGGAAACTATATTTGAAAATATAAAAAAACTTCGCGTCATTTTTGACTTTATCAAATCTCATTGGAAACATGATTCTGAACAAAGAAAAAAATGGCTCGAATTCTTAAATTACCGAAAGAGCGTCGGTTGTATTAAATTGTCCGTTGCAAAGAGGTCCAGGGCCCGCCATAACTTTTCCCCCTCCCAACCTAGACAGAAGATGGGCGGCTGTTTGGGCCCTAGAATCTCGTTTCTTGTATTTATTTTCTGAAAACAATAACAATTAGAATCGATTTTCTGTATGTTTTTTTTACTTGGCCATATCTGAGTTCTAAAAAGAGGTTTTTTTCTTACAAAGTTTTCAAACATAATTATTATGTGAAAGATTAAATTATGTGCTGTAAAAAAAGAAAATGCCAAAATAAACTAGTATTTAACAAGGGGAAAAGGATCCTTGTTAAAAACTCTAATTTTCAAATGCTTATATCTTTACAACCTGATATTTAAACCTTTGATGTTTCAAACTCTAACTTCTAACATGCAACTTCTTCTGAACTGGGCTAAGTAAAGTAATAAACGTACTAACCCATCCCAGCTAGTTTAACTCCAATTCTCCTGAACTGGGCTAAGTAAAGTAATAAACGTACTAACCCATCCCAGCTAGTTTAACTCCAATTCTTCTGAACTGGGTTAAATAAAGTAATAAACGTACTAACCCATCCCAGCTAGTTTATCTCCAATTCTTCTGAACTGGGCTAAGTAAAGTAATAAACTTACTAACCCATCCCAGCTAGTTTAACTCCAATTCTTCTGAACTGGGCCAAATAATTTCTTACAGTCAAAAACTCCAGGCTCAGGGCTGTTGCCTAGTAGTTTTATTTAGATACAGTGGGTTCCACAAATCTTTGTAATAGGGAGATGTCATTGAAGAAATCTTAAGTATTGTTATAAAACAAGTAGGTCTACCACAATACTCAAATATTAGGTCTTTTAGATTTATTGAATTGTACAATAAATCTGATTATTTCATGTTTTTACTTGACCAAATATTGGTTAATTCACATTGAGAACTATATCTAATGTGCTTATCCAAAAAAAAAGAAATGGAAAAGCAAAATTTGGCTTGATTTGTAGGTTATATAGCTTCATACGCAAATAGAAATATGTTTAAATAGCTTCTCACACGGTCAGCTTTAGTGCCAGAGCTTTCAAAACATTTGTAAATTAAATGTAAAGAGAGCTACATGACCTACAAATCAAGCCAATTTGTTGCTTATGTATTTATTTTTCTTGGATATACACATTAGATTTAGTTCTCATTGTGAATTAACCAATATTTGGTCAAGGAAAAACATAAAATGATCAGAATTTTGTACAATTCAATAAATCTTAAAGACCTAATATTTGAATAGTGACCAGTAGCTTAAAAATCAGTTATTTAATAGAAATAGGCCTGTGTACACTGCACAATTACATCTAAGGTGACATTGGACTTGATATATATAATAAACGAATTTGCAATTTGATAAATTCTAGAAAGAAATTGAGTCTTTGCCACAAACTCTGATTTTCTAATCCCTGTATCTTTGGATTCCAACGTCGTAAACCTTTGACATTTCAAACTATGACTTTTGTTAGATCAAACAATAGAAGCTTGAAATATCAAAGGTTTACGACATTGGGTTCCAAAGATATTGGGATTAGAAAATCAGAGTTTGTGGCAAAGACTCAATTTCTTAGGAGCATTATAACCTTTAAGTTTGCTTGCATAAAGGGACTGTCATTTTAATTTTAAGTGACCCTTCAGTAAAGAGGGACATGTCCAATTTACAATAGTACCCTTGGAATCATAATTGTGAAGAAAGCGCCTTTTTTTGGTTGAAAAGCGTTTAATTCTGATAATTTCTCCGTTGTCTCTAAAGTGAGAATTGTGCAATTGTCACTTTTACAGAGAAACAGTTGTGAAAAGCAAAAACCATGTCAATCTATTAATGGAGGGTCAGTTGAAATTACGTTTACAGTCCCTTTAAACTAGTTTTCATATTTTGATTATATTCAGGATCTTAAACTTTGTTTTCTGTCGGTTTCACAAATTTTATTCAAAGTTATTTTCCTCATCTTTCATAAAGGTTTGTTACTCCAAGCTCTGCATTTTGTTCAAAAAAATAAATAAATTGTGAAAAAGAAGATACAAATATTATTATTTTTTCTTTTTCTTAAACTCACCTGATTATTGATACATGCTGCTACAGGGCACAGTACTCTAGTATTCTTTTTATTTCGAGGTTTTTGGATCTTTTTCATTTTTCGAATTTTTTCGTTTTTGCGACTTTTGCTCCTTTTTCCTTGCTTCTTAGATTCTTTTCTTCTTTCTTTGTTTGATTTAATTTTTTGATTTCGTTTTGTTTTCTTCTTTTTGATAGTTTTTGATCCGTTTTTGTTTTTGTTACTTTTTCTAATATTTTCTTGTTTTTTTAATTTATTTCTTCTCTTTTTGTTTGATCTAAGTTCCTTATTTTGTTTTGTTTCCTTCTTTTTGAAAGATTTTGATCCATTTTTGTTTTTTAATTGTTTGAATTTGTTCTTGCTTTTCTTCTTCCTATTCTCCTTAATTATCTTGGATTCTTTTTTCATTGATTTCTTTAAACTGGGTACTGAACATTACATTGTACAAAAATGTATTTTTCCATAAAATTATATAAAAGAAAGAGATATTTTATTGATTTTAGTAACATTTTAATATTTTTTTAGGTCCTTCCACCCCCCCTCCCCCTCCCGCCGCGCCCTTTTACGTGAATATATGTAATATACAGCTTAGCCGATAATGCTGGCAAATTTTTTGAAGTAACTCACAAACCCCGCGGACCATGGGAAGATATATAGTTTGAAGAAATAAGAAACAGTTTCGTTTTTTATTTTTTAAATTTACAAAAGAAAAGTGAAAAATTCGCCATATTTTACGTAGTTACTTTTTTAAAAGTTTATTTTATGCAAAGAAAAGAAAATATTTAAAAAGACTGTATAAAAGAAAAATGAAAGGGGGTATAGGCTGAAACCTAAGCATTTTAGTAGTTGATCGAGACCCATAATTGTTCTATCTGACGCTCCTGTCTCCAGAAATTTTACACAGTTTTATATCAATTTCTCAATACAGGAACATCAGATAGAACTCTCATGGGTCTTGATCATCTCCTAAAAAACTTAGGTTTCAGCCTAAGCTCCCTTTTCATTTTTCTTTTACGGTTTCTTTAAAAGATAACATTTAAAAAAAAAATATAGAAAAAAATCAATATTTTCTTACTTGAATTAGATATTCCATCACTCTTTTTAGGACCATTCTCATCATCCAATCCTAGTATTATGATTACAATTTTATAAAATCAGGGATATTTTTTTAAGGAACTGTAGATTACGTTTCAAGTACCCCTCCATTTTAATAGTGATATGCCCTATTCACAAAGATACTCTTCAAACTTTGTCGAGGCAAAAATTACAAAGATATTCAAGTTCTCTGAACAGAAAATTGATATTTTTCAACTGTGGTTTCTCAAAAAAAGTGAATTGAGGATTTATACAGTATAAAGAAATAATGAAATAAAACGAAGATATCTCTCTTAAATTGTTGCTAAGTTAAATGCGTAAAGGGTACCGTTGTGAATCGGGTATTAAAATCTTAAAATCCTTTTTCAATAATGTAAAAAATATTTTAAACCTGAGACAACGAACAGAAAAAGCATAAACACTCCAACCAATACTATTCTTGAAGGCATAGTTCACTGTAATTTAAAGGTTGCAAGCTCTCAAGCAGAAATAGTTAAAAATCAATTATCACTTAAAAACCAAAGCTAAAAAAAGTGCTTTTAAGCGCTAAAATGTACATGTAAAGGGCTATAGAAAAGCATAAGTGAGCGGTAAAATCAAAGCCCAAGGCGCTGCGGCACTTCAAAGATTTATTTCTTATTATAAAAATTGACAAGACTTGTTATAAGCAGGTGGAATCTCTGTGCTAGTTGCAGATTCAAACAAATATTTACTACTGAGATTTTCAACTTACAAATTACGAAGTTATTATCTAAAACATGTGTAAACATGATTTTTTTTCTATTTTTCTAATAATTACTTTAAAAGCTTCGAGAGAAAAAGCGTAATTACAAAAAAATTTCCACTTGTTTCTAAACCATGATAAACAAATTTATATCACTTTTTTGTTCAGTCATCACATGATAAATTATCATTTTTATTAATGGTAGTGTGGGTTTTCATTTTTAAGAAAAAAAACGCCCATTACTTTGCCAAAGTAAGAATGAAGGTTACAAAAACAAAAATAGATATTTTTGCAATTAAAAAGTCATAAATAAACTTTGGTCCGAAAAAAATGGTTGAATTTCTTCTGATTCCAAGATTAGCAGAAGAATTAACATGCTTGATTCATACTCAACATTTTTTATAAAAACTATAAAAATAGACTTCTTATGCGTTTTTAACAAACACTTCTTTGAATATGCACTGTAAGAGTAAGTGACTTTCAATTATATAGGATCTAATACCTGGATTCTCAACAGGATTCCCTTCAAACCTTTGACTGATCAAGGATTCCCAACAGGATGCCCTTTAAACCTTTGACTGATCAAGGATTCCCAACAGAATGCCCTTTATAAACCTTTGACTGATCAAGGATTCCCAACAGGATGTCCTTTAAACCTTTGACTGATCAAGGATTCTCAACAGGATGCCCTTTAAAAACCTTTGACTGATCAAGGATTCCCAACAGGATGCCCTTTAAACATTTGACTGATCAAGGATACCCAACGGGATGCCCTTCAAACCTTTGACTGATCAAGGATTCCCAACAGGATGCCCTTTAAACCTTTGACTGATCAAGGATACCCAACGGGATGCCCTTCAAACCTTTGACTGATCAAGGATTCCCAACAGGATGCCCTTTAAACCTTTGACTGATCAGGGATGACGGAACGTTCCTTATTAATCTACATAAATTCTTGTAATGTTTTTTTTTTAACTTTAATAATTTATTTTAATTAAATTTTACAATATTTCAAAATTTCAATATGATAGCAGATGGAAACATTTTGAGACTTCTATATTTCTTGTTTTTCATTCTTTCTTCTTGATCGTCCATTCCTTGTCCATCCTTCATCAATCATACATTGGCTAATTTTGAAAATAAAAATAAATGAATTTTTTGGATGTTTTCTGCAGCTAGCCGAATTGCAGAGGCAGAACTATTTTTTGAGCCCTGTATCTATTTTCTTTCTTGTTTGTTTTTAAATTTTGCTTTAGTCATGTTACTGAGTCAGCTCCTGCATTCCTAACATTCATAACGCACTTTCAATAAAATTTTCTTGATGGAGGGGAGAGGGGTGAGGGGGGTGTTTTGCACATTTTCCAGTTTTTTATCTCAAGTAAGACATAAAGGGGGGGGGGATGGGACGTCTGCCATCCTGTGTATTTGTCTTTAGTCGCTATCAGTGAAAAAATAGATAGTGTAAACATTAAATCCCCTTCTAATTTTTCCTGTTCAAAGTTTTCTTCTTCTTTCTTGTTTATCTTGCTTTAAGCACCCATCTCTACTGTCAAGAGATTTCCCATCCACTTTTTTTGTTCAATTTATTTTTTCTTCTTGCTTCTTGTTTCTTGTTTTTACACTTTAGGCCTTTCCAAATATTCAACACCTAGTTGTGGAGCAGGTAGGAGAGAGATAAGGAGGTTTGTAGGAAGAAGGGTATAGCGGATTTCTCCCTGTGTTCCTTCATTTTATACTGTTTCCCAGTTAGGGGAATTAGGGAATTTACCCATAACTGCACCCCTTATGCAAAATGGGAAGTTGTGATCCCTGAAAGCTCTCCTGAGAGTTATCTTCCATGGCAGTCCAGTCCTCACATCTGGTCGAGTAAAAAACCGGTACCGTTGTGCACATATATTTTATGGAAACTCACAAAAAATACTCTTCCAACGGAGATAATCTTTCACCAGTTTGTTGAATTAGTTTCTAAAAAAACTGTTTTAGTTTGACAACTTAATGATAGTCATTAAAGTTTCAATCATCAGAGGGAAGACAGGTTAATCTATATGGTATTATTAGTAAATAATTATATTATACATATGATTGATATATTATATCATGATGGATGTACTTATGTAACTTTAGAAGAATTTTTATTTTAAATAATGTTTTTACGCATAAAACTTTGAAATAGGAAGACGACATGTAGGTTTATGTAATTGATATTGACCGACATCAAATTGTATTACCAGAGCTGGGAACTTTTGAATGGTGGATATCGGGATTTATGCTTGATCTTTTTCTTAATCGCAAGATTAAATAATGCTTGTTCTCCTCATGTTATTAATCTCCAGATTAATTAACCGATTGGGATTAAGGATGTCCCGGATTCTAAAGTTTTCAGCTCAGATTAGTTTTAAAACCAATTTAATTTTTTTAAATGAGATTTAAACAGTCGTCTTTCTATTCCATAAATTTTAATTTGTATTCATGAAATTTTTTCATTGCTTGACAGAAATTTCTATTACAACCTGAAAGAACCACACAGCCNTACTTTAGTGTTACAGATGCTCTTTTAGATGGTAACTGTAACAGATTCTGTGACTGTTACTGTTACAGTGACTCTATTCAAGCAATCACTGTTTAAAATAGATCCTTGTAGGTCCAACTCATAATCTATTTGACCAACCCTGGATAACAAGATATTTACAACCCCCTCCCTCGATTCACCTTTACTGCTGATAACTGGTATGTAAAACTGAAGTTCATTGTGAATTTGACCAGTGGCGCAGCTGAGGGGGGGGGGAGGGTAAACCAAGTTTCTCCCCCAACCCTCATCATATTTCGCCCCCCCCCTCTCCCCCCTCATTTGAATCAAACATGATTTTAATTGTGGACCATCTCTTATAAAATTTTCCCAAATATAAAAAATGCCAACATTTATCTTTTGCGTTCGCGCATCAGTAATGTCGGCACAAATTTGACTGACTCCAGTGCATGTCCTAGTACATTACATTAGATTGTGATATCCCCGAACGTCATCAAGATCCTGATTCAAGGCTGGGCTAACTTTGAATTGTAGCCTTGCCTTGGCCTTTAATCTTATCTCACTAACTCACTTATGCTTGTAAGTATAAGTCTATACATTTGTTTTTAACTTTAGTGTTTTAGAATTAATATGCAACATTTTTATCCATTTTAACTTTAGTGTTTTAGAATTAATATGCAACATTCTTATCCATTTTAGCTTTAGTGTTTTAGATAATTATAATTATAATAATAAAATTATTCAATATTTATTACGTTATAAATAATCGTTCACAGCCTTCACGCCTTTCTAGAAAACACACAAATTATAAATAAAAAATAAGAAATTACATAAAGTAGTCTGCGATAAAATCAATGCAATGAATATAACTTTTCTATCTTTAAGTTTTGGTTTCTAGCAAACTTTTTTCAAATTAGTAGTTTATCAAGTAAACAAAAGAAGCTGTTAGTCGACATCTTCTCTTTGATTCCATGTTTTTGTGTGCATCCATGCTGTTTGAAAGCTTGGTAGAAATAAAAATCGAATGTCGTCTGCATTGTATTGTTTTTTACGACAACGCCTGTACATTAAATCATCGGGTACATACTACAAAGACTAAATACTGGATATTGTACACTGTACAAATATGTTGATGCTAATATATTGACATTCCTTAATATATAATATTCATTAAAATAAAGTTTAATCGTAGATTTTCCTTTTGAAATCAAAGAAATATTTTAATCTGGAGGATCAAATACATTCCTTCAAGGTAGAATATTAATCAACTCTCCTTTTTATAAAGAGATTGTGGATGTAGTTCTAAGTGAGTCTCAATTGAAAGAAGTGTATGTTCGATTCACAATGGTATCCTTAAAAAATTGTCTGACTAAGATTTCAATAATTTTTAATATGAATATTAAATATTTTTAGTTGTAGTTTTTCTATCCATGTAAATTGAAAATTTGTGTTTTAGAGTCAAAATTTGAAATTCAACAAGTGTTACTGCTTTTTAAGGTAAAAAAACAACGATTTCCTCCTTATCAACGCTGAAAACTTTAGAATTGTGAATATCGAGATCAATGCTTGATCTCCTCTTCTTTTTAATCTCCAGATTATTATAATCGTTTTACACTAAAGTGTTTAGAATTCTACGAATCAGAGTGTACCAAAAAAGAAGATTAAGAAAATCATAAGTTTCCACAGTGGATATTCTTAAGTAAGCTATCGAGATTAAGGGTTTCCAATAGTAAAGTTTCCAGTGTAGTGCTCAGTTAAAGATTTAAAGGATACCGTTGTGAATGTGAATCAGGCATTCTTTAATTGTGGGTCGCTTACAGCTGACTGTCCCTTTAACATTTCTTGATAGAAGACGATATTCACTGTTTTAACTGATCAAGGTTTAATATTGAGCACTGATTTATAAAATTTATGTACTCTACCAATATTGAGCACTGATTTATAACATTTATGTACACTATACGAATACAATTTCATTTTCCGTCATATTTCATAACTTTGATTGGAACGGATTTTGTAACTGCTACTGTAACAGTCACTCTCGTAGATTGTAACTGTAACATATTCTGTGATTGTTACACAGATAAATATATTCTCATAGATTGCAACTGTAACAGTTTCTGTTACTTTAGTGTTACAGATGCTCTTTTAGATGGTAACTGTAACAGATTCTGTGACTGTTACTGTTACAGTGACTCTATTCAAGCAATCACTGTTTAAAATAGATCCTTGTAGGTCCAACTCAGAATCTATTTGATCATTATCCACATCTTCAAGAATGCCCATCTAAAATTCAAAAATGTTAAGCATGTTCCGAATTTATCCTTTCAGACTTAAATCCCCCCCCCCCCTTGCCAGTGACAAACCCTGTTATGTCAAATTTCAAATTTCAACTATCATATCTTTAACGGTCAACTTATTTTTCAACCTCCTCTCCCTGTTTTCAGTGTACATTTTATTTAGTTTATTTAATATATTAATATAAATATTTTTTTAGAATTCATTTGAGAAATTGAGACCAATAAGTAACAGAGTGTCCCAATAAACATGGGAATTAAAGGACAACCTCTATATCATATTTGTTTCTTAAATATAATTTTGTACGTCATAACCAGAAAACTCCTAAATAGGAAGACGACTTTATAGCAATACGTTAGTGTATTTGATGTTGTCATAAAGCAAATAGTTTTACTAGACACTTATTAAATCACAAATCAAGTGAAATGAGTCTGTTTACGCTGAACAATTTCTGTTTCCCGTGCTCATTGGACTATCTATAAATGTCATAATTTAAGTTTAAAAGTCGTCTTCCAATTCCAGAGTTTTCTGGTTATTACTGTATTATCATAATTAAAACGTTTAACTCCGAAAACTGGTAGTCTCGGGATTTTCCAATTTAATATGACAATTAGAGCAGGTATAACTTCGGCTGCAGCTGCCATGAAAATAGTATCCAAATGATTTATTCATAATGATTTTGGTAGTTACAGGCAAGGATGTAATGCAAGGAAAGTTATTTTAGTAGTGTACACATCTTTTGGGCGGTAATGTAAACACAAGACGGATTTTAAAGCCTGACATGGGATCCATCTTTCACATAAAAAAATCAATGAAATATTCTGGTCATAGGAAATTATTTTGTGAATTATCAAAATTATCAAAATTTAATGCTTTTAACCTCCTCGGATACTAATTAACTTTCCTTGCATTACACCCTTGGTTACAGGTAACATATAGTGGTCGTCGTTTATATCAATACAATGAAGACAACTTGTCTAACAAGATTTTTATCAAATTACAATTATTTACGAGTTAACATGTAAACAAATGTAAAGAATCTGTAAATTGACAGGTTTTCTTTACCTCCATATGTATGTAAATTGTGTAACTATGCTGTATGAAAGCTCATGGGTAGAAATAAAAATTTAAATCTGAAGTCGTCTTCATTAATTGATATATATACGACGACGACTGTACATATATATATTTACGCTCTAATATTTATGTAGGAATAATTCAATAAAATATTTTTAATTTAAATGATATTTATATGAGACTAAAACATGAAAAAATATTTTTGAAACCTGAGTGATTGGGATTTGAGGAAGATGGGTGGGTTGGGACGGATTTATTTCTCTCTTTTGTCTCTCCGGAGTTAAAGTGACAGTGCGCAAACTAGTTGTAAACTCACCAGGCTTACTTCCTATTTAAGAAACTGATTATACGAGGACATCAGGTTGCAAAGATATAATCATTGAAAAATAAGAATCTTATGAAAAACTGATTTAATTTAATTAATTTAATTCTGCAAAAAGAAAATGTAGAATTTTCAGATAGAAAAATAAAGATATATCCGTTGTTTTGACTCAAAAAAAGTTTTAAAGAATGCCATGTGAACAGGACATAAACATTTTTCAATTAGAGGCGAGGGTCAATTTTAAATAATTCAATATTTTATGCATATTTTATCTCAAGTAATTTTGGTGAGCGGATTTTCACGAATTAGTGCTAAATTAGACTTAAATATTGTTTTAGTTTTCAAACAAAATGCATTTTAGACAAAATCAAAATATATTAAATAACTTGACGTTGCCTTTATCATTAAAATAAATTTAAAAAACACAGAAGCAACGCCCAGACGAAACAAATTGGGGTCGGAAATCCAATAATGCTGAATTGTGACGTTATTTGTGGTTCGGACGAAAAATGGTGTGGTGTGCTGTCCCCCCCCCCTCTCGACGGACACAGCATTCTTGAATCATACATTGAGATTTTACCAGAAAGAAAAACAGTCATAATACTGGTTGTGGGCCCAGCATCAGTCGTAGACTGAGATTCAGCTTTCTTCTGCTCCTTTAGTTTTAACAGGACTTCCTTAACAAAACAGAAATTACTTTTAGACTCTAAAATGGCTAAACTAATGGCAGGGTTTGAGAAAATTGATTAAATTTTGGAAATGATCTAGAATAATCAACTCAATTAAACTTTTTTTCAGTTTATCACACTTATAGCTGTTTGTAGCATTTAAGATGTTGATTTAATCATAATTTACATATTAAAGAAAGGTTCTGCCGTTAACTTACAAAGTTTTTATGTTTCAGGAAAGGTTATGCAAGGCCCTTACTGATACAAATTGATCGGAAAGAAATTGGAAACCCTTTTTATTGTACTATACTTAGATCCTAATTTTGAAGAAGAAAAAAAATCCCGCTGGTCTAATCAAATAAGATAAAAAAAACTGTTTGAAAGAGGTAAAACACTCTGCATGTATAATCTAATCGTATGAGAGCGACCTTTAAATTTATATTGATCTCTACCTGAAGAGGAATAAATTTATCCAGTGTCTCCGGAACTTCTATAACTTTAGCTCTTATTCCCATGAAGGGAACTTGGAGAATGGATTGAAAGTCGTCTTCTAGAGAACTTTTCTTGCTATAAAATTGATTTCATTCAGATTTAGAATTTACAGACAAAAATGTGTGCACCTTTTCTAAGAATTGGTCAACCAGTAAGGTTAAAATAATGACTAAAAGAAGTTGAATTTGTATTTTGGAGTTTAGATTCCTCTGAGAACAATAATAGTCTGGAATAGAAAGACGACTTTAATACTCAAGTTATGACTTTAAATAGTTCAATGAACACGAGACACGGCAGTTGTGCAGTGTAAATAGACCCATTTCACCTAATAAGTAATTTAAAAGTGTCTAGTAAAACTCTTTGGTTCGTAACAACATCAAATACAATAAATTATTGCTAAATTGTCGTCTTCCTATTCCAGTGCTTTCTGGTTATTACTGCACATTTTACAATTATTGAATTCCCGATTTCTATTTGCAAAACAATACGTAAGACAACTTATTTATAACCCTCGTCAACAAATCCTCAAATTCCTTAACACATATTTTTCTGGCCCTTTTTTTAATTGCATGAAAAATCAACAGATGTCAGAGAAGCGGGAACATTTTTATGAAGATAGACAATGTCGTCTTTGTTTAAAAATCAATTTCCTCGAAATCTGTGTTTTCTGCGCAGGTGGTGTTGGCACAATACTAAAATATTAGCATACATACAGGGTGTCCCAATAAACATGGGAATTTAGTGACGAATTCGATATCGTCTTTTTAAATAATTCTTTGATTTAATATAGTAAACTTGTCCGTATTCACTGTTCATCTTGCGGAGACATTATAGACACATATTTACAGTCTTTTACCCTTTTCATAAAACAAACTCTAGCAGGCATAATAATATTATGGCTTTTGAAATTACAATGCTAATTCATAACAAAGACGATATTGAATTCGTCACTGAATTCCCATGTTTTTTGGGACATCCTGTAGATCAAATATAAATTAGAGATCCAAATTAAATTAAGTTTTGTTCATTCATTTATAATATGTTAATATACATTTTCGGTCAAGATAGACTTAATACGCAACAAAAAAGCCTAAACTTTTCCTATTTTATCAAATTATTTTGTTCTTTTTGTGTTAAATATATACAGTGAATCCCACATATATGAACTCATAGACCGTCATACGTTTTTTGATAATTCTAAAGAAACTTCTTTTTATTTTTAATTAAAGGTAAATTAATAGCCCTGAAATATTTCATAGGCTGTATGAATGCAACTGTAAAATATTAGATATTAAAAATCTAAGCATGAGCATAAAAGTCGTCTTCCTATTTCAGAGTTTTCTTGTCATCACTGTAGTTTATATAATTTTTTTCAAATATAATTAAAATATCTCATCATCAAATCAAATCCTGAAGAACATTACATCAAACATTTTTTACAAAAAACATCTTGTTTCTATAAACAAAGTAACGTTTCACAAACAATTAATTCTCCAAAACTTTTGTAATTAAAGTATCTTGGTACAAAAAGTTTAATTTAATTAATTAATTTAATAATAATTAATTTTGTTTCATTACAAAGTTTCTATTACCTTTGTGTGGGTGTAATTGTAAATGTCGTCCATGTTGGAGTTGGGGTAATTTCGGTACTTTTAGTAATTATACTGGTTACAGTCTCCACCTAGCACATAATAATTATACTGGTTACAGTCTCCACCTAGCACATATTTTAGTAATTATACTGGTTACAGTCTCCACCTAGCATATATTTTAGTAATTATACTGGTTACAGTCTCCACCTAGCATATATTTTAGTAATTATACTGGTTACAGTCTCCACCTAGCACATAGTAATTATACTGGTTACAGTCTCCACCTAGCACATATTTTAGTAATTATACTGGTTACAGTCTCCACCTAGCACATATTTTAGTAATTATACTGGTTACAGTCTCCAGCTAGCATATATTTTTTATAAAGGATATTCGATTTGGTCTTCCCAAAGACATTTTCCCTAAGGGGCGACTTCCCGAGTGACAACTTCCGAAGCGGCCCTCCTTGGCGCCGTCAGCTGCATTAAGGGCCGAGCGCTTCAGCTAGGATGGGCTAAGAGGCCGAACGCTGTGTCGAATATCGTTATTCTTGAACTTTTGATCTCAATATTCAATTTGTATTCACCAAATTAACCTATTTCCTGCACCACTGTATATTGAAAAATGATTAAATACATCCGTGTCTGCTTAAGATCGAGATCAATGCTTGATCCAAAGATTTAAAACACACATTCTTACTTCAGGACAAAGTTTTATTAAATCAAGGTTGTAGAATACATAGTATACAGAACATGATATCATGGAAAAGTTGTTTAGGTCTTGATTAAAAAAGATCAAACATCTTTAAAGCACTTAAATTGTCAGACCTTGATAACCCGAAATGCATGGAGTGGCTGGGAGGGGGGAGAGTCAACCTCTCTCGTTTTAAAATTAGTCTCTCAAAATGTTGTGACTTTTTTCCACCAGTCAGAAGACTTTCTGTAACAAAAACCTGAAACCCAAGGTTATCTGCCTGACAATGCCTCTAGGCAAGGCCTAAAAAAATTAGTCATAATAAAAATGTATCTTATTCCTACCCTTGATTCAGTATCGTAGATGCTTCTCACAATTACGCGTCCATGAAAATGAATGGGAAGCTCGGTTGTCTTTGTCTCCAAGATGGTGGATTCAAAACTGAAAAATAAATAAAATGTCAAAATATTCTTCAACATTTGTTTTTGCCTCTAAACTGGAATGAGGAGGGAGGGGGGGAACTTTCATCTTCTGCGGGAACAAAGGGTTAACAAATTTTCCAGGTAAGAGATTCTTAAATTTAGATAATTTTTAATGGAAGTTCAAAACTTTTTAAGTATTCAAGAAACTCTAAAAGATTTTAAAATGTTAAAATTAGAAACTTATTTTTTTTTAATTTTTAGCATAGAGTACTTTTAACATAGAGTACTTTTAGCATGGAGTACTTTTGGCATAGAGTAATTTTAGCATAGAGTACTTTTAACATAGAGTACTTTTAGCATACGGTACTTTTAACATAGAGTACTTTTAACATACGGTACTTTTAACAGTTGTTATAATAAATAGTGAGCTACTTTTTTTCTTATACAATTAAAAACGAGGGATATAGATCAAGATATAGTTTTATAGATAAAGTTAACTGACTGATTTCATAATCAAGATAAAATTAAAAACTCACTAAGAGGGACTAAGAGGGACTAAGAGGGACTAAGAAGGACTAAGAGGGACTAAGAGGGACTAAGAGGGACTAAGAGGGACTAAGAGAGACTAACAGGGGCTAAGAGGGACTAACAGGGACTATCAGGGACCAACAGGGACTAACAGGGAATAACAGGGACTAAGAGGGACTAAGAGGGACTAAGAAGGGCTAAGAGGGACTAAGAGGGACTAAGAGGGAGTAAGAGGGACTAAGAGGGATTAAGAGAGATTAAGTGGGACTAAGAGGGACTAAGAGGAACTAAGAGGGACCAACGGGGACTAACAAAGAATAACAGGGACTAAGAGGGACTAAAAGGGATTAACAGGGACTAAGAGGGACTAAGAGGGACTAAGAGGAACTAAGAGGGACCAACAGGGACTAACAGGGAATAACAGGTACTAAGAGGGACTAGGAGGGACTAAGAGGGACTAAGAAGAACTAAGAGGGACTAAGAGGGACTAAGAGGTACTAAGAGGGACTAAAAGGGTCTAAGAGGGATTAAAAGGGACTAACAGGGACTAAAAGGGACTGAGAGGGACTAAGAGGGACTAAGATGGACTAAGAGGAACTAAGAGGGACTAAGAGGGACCAAGAGGGACTAACAGGGACTAACAGGGACCAACAGGGACTAACAGGGAATAACAGGGACTAAGAGGGACTAAGAGGGACTAAGAGGGACTAAGAGGGACTAAGAGGGATTAAGAGGGACTAAGTGGGACTAAGAGAGACTAAGAGGGACTAACAGGGACTAACAGGGACTAACAGGGACTAACAGGGACTAAGAGGGACTAAGAGGTACTAAGAGGGACTAAAAGGGTTTAAGAGGGACTAAAAGGGACTAACAGGGACTGAAAGGGACTGATGTAAATGTCCGATTCAGAAAGATAACCCTAAAACAATTGACCGATCAAGGTTGTCAGACTAATTCTCATTAATCTAAAAAATCGCTTTTAATTGTTGAACACATTGTTTGCATTTTTGCATTGTTTGCAAACAGTTTTAAGTTTTAAAAATAATAATATTTACTTTCTAAAATTGGCAGAAATAATAATTAACTGGCTTAAAACTTCAGAGACTAAACTCAATACACTAGTACACAGTGTAAACTTCAGGCGCGGAAACAGGAAGAAGGCCGGTCAAGGGGGCGAAGCTCCCCCTTCGGAAAATAGGGGTGGGGGGTTAAGAGTATCTTTTGAACCCCCCCTTTTCTAAAGATCAATTTAAAAGTTTACTGTAGATTTCAAGTTTTAACCAACGCGGTAAGTAATTGAATATGATTCTTTCCTATCTTTAAAATTGAGTTTATTTTGATTTAAGCTTTGAAACACATTAAAGTTTTTAGTAGCATTACAGCGACATCAAAACGATAATAGGGTTGTTTAAATTTTGTAACATTTTTCAAAAATTTTACTAAATCAAAATTGTATTCTGTACTTGGAATTCTTATGTTTTAAAAATAAAATGTTCACAAAAATAAAAAAGTAATAAAAAACAATTATACAAATGAAAATTTAAATTTTAAACAGATATTCAATACATGGGTATTCTTGAAAATATCCCAAATCTAAATAAAATTACAGAATATGAAAATATTGCTAATTTACCGATTTAAAACATAAAAACACATTTTTGAGTACTAAAAAAGTTAGAGAAAAAAACTCTTTTTGATCATAGCTGGCCCGATTTTTTAATATTTTTGAACTCTTTGAACTTTTTTTGAACTCCGGTTTTCACGTAGAATTTATTACTTCCCATTTCAAATTGCTTTAAAAAATTTGATTTTCACTTATACCATTAATTTTTACATTTTAATCTTTAAACCTAATCTTGTAAAACATGCATTTTATTATTATGCCTAAAAATTCCAAGAAGAATACAATTTTGCTTCTGTAAAATTATTTCAGAAAAATTTCATAAAATAGCACACATGGAAGTTTGAGGGGGGCCCCCCTTTTCAAAGAGCGTGATCCGCCCCTGGAAACTTTGAAATTAAAAGATTTAAATTTGATCCCATGGATAAAGTGATAATCCACCATAGGTTTTCAGCGTCTAGATAAAATGAGTCTTTGCCAAAAAATCATTTTTTTTAAATCCCTACATCTTTGCAACCTTAGAGTGTAAACCTTTAATATCTTAATTTTAGATTATTTGATCTCACAGAATTCGTCGTTTGAAATATCTAAGGATTAGAAAATCATATTTTTTTTGCAAAAACTCAATTACTTGATCAGAAAATATTATCAAGACTGAGGCCGAATTTAAAGAATTTGGGTCACGGTTAAAATTGAAACCGCGGCTCAAATATGGTTGGTTCCATTTAAAATTGCATTAAACATTTCAAGATTTAAGCCGGCGCTCAATTGAAACGGGCTTTTGAGGGATTTGAGACGCGGCTTAAATTCATTAAATTCCGACACTGGAGATTAAAATTAAAACTATTGAGCGATTTAAGTTGTGTTTTTTATTTACATTTTACCGCAAATTAAGTCACGATTCTTAGTTAAAAACTGAATTAGCTATAAATACAAATATAAATGTTAAAAGTAAAAAGAACTAACCTTGTTGTCTCAAAGAATGTAGAAATGGTTGGTTCCAAGGGTACCAGGGAACTACTGCACACGGATAATATTCAAGTTTTTTATCAATCAAATATTTTTATTCATTTAAACTAATTTTAATGTATTTAGATTGATATAGATATTTAGGTTTAATCGAAACTTTTCGGATGAAAAGAGAAAATTTGAAAATTTTGTTCTTTTTCACGATATTTTGACGAGAATACTTTGTTGGTCCCTGATAGGTTAAACCTTCAGTAGTTTTAGAAATAATTTAACTTAATCCGATGAACTGCAAAATAAACGGATTAGAGCAGTTTTGAAGGGGTTAAAAAATAAAAAAGTTCGGACCTTTGAGTTTAAAAATATTTGTTAGGAAAGTAATTAAATGACAAAAGTCGAAAATGGAGTTTTCTAAAACAGAATAGAATAGAATAGAATATTTTCTATTTCATAAAAGATCAAACATCACATTTACTGTTTGAACATTTCAAAGGGAAATTTTAATTTGACAAGGCGGAACACTTTTAGATTCATATTGATGTTTTGTTTAGACACATCCATTTTTATCGTCCTTCTACCACTTATTTGTATACAATATACCCACCCAAGACGACTCATTTTTTTGCTATTATTATATTTTTCTAAATTACTCTTGTCACAAACGGCAAATGTTTAAAGACCCATTTTAAAATAAAAACTATATACTACAGGGCGCTTTTTCGAGTCATCCTGAATGATTATTTGGGCTTAAAAACGCTAATCCCTAGCCCTGTTTTTTGGCCACCCTGTATGTATTCGTATATTACGCTAGCCGTTATCAAAATGGTTTAATTCGCCAGAAACATGAAATTCTGCTCATACCTTATCTATGGCTGCAAGTGTATTTTTTTGGAAGTCTAATTATGGAAACTTTTTTTTAAAATATTAAAAAAAATATGAATTTAAAGGAATACAAAACTCTTGATCTTGACGTAAAAGATCATTTTTGTGTTTGTTAAGAATGAGAAAAAAAAAACTATTTTAAAAAACTAAAAATATTCCTGAGCTGTAATTTCTCGTAATCTTCGCCAGAATTCCTAACCTTTAACCCCCCCTCTACTTTTAGCAGATTTAAGGGGTTTTCAGATCCCAAGGAGTTTTCAGGGCTCGGGGTCAGGACATGAGAAATCTGTGATTCTGAACCCTAGAAAAAAAGCAAATTAAGAAAATATTTTTTTTTAGTTTATAGTTTTATAGTTTTTACAAGTTTTTACTGTTTTCCATTTTGTTATGAACCCTTCTCTTATATCATGAGTTTGAAAAGGAAACATTTAAAATATGTAAACAAGATTGATTACATCTATCTATATATACTTTGCTTGTCTGTCTGGGTGTTTTTTGTTTGTTTGTCAAAACTGCTGAACCGATCGGGCCCAAATTTTGTGTGGGACCTCACATGACCCATGGCAGGTTTATGGATAATAGAATTTTCAAAAATTGCTTCTAACAAAATTTGTTTTTTGGAAATATGAATGCAGAGATTATAATTTTTTGAAGTTTCTATATGTATTAGATGTACATACATTAAAGGATATATCTATTTTTCTAAAGATGCATTGAAGCGAACAAAATGCAAAACGGAGTTTCAAAGAGCATTATGTCACATTCGAGGATGTAAGTTGTAACATACTTGTTTTACTTTACTTCTGTAGATTTATTAATTTAGACAGTTAAAGGATATTTGCTGTAGATAATGTCGGGTTAAAAATTCAGTTTGCCAAAGCTTGGAAATTTTAAATGTACAAAATAAATAATTTGTTCGTAACGATTATTATCATTCTGTCTCAACTATTGGCCTTTGGAAAACAAATGGGGGTAAGTGACGAACCTTTCTTAGATCTAATCATATAAAAACAATGTACAGAATGTTCTGTGCAGTTATATAAATATAAATGTTGTTTGAAGCTCTATATAGTCTTTGTTATCCTGGTATTATCCTCATATCTAATCTATTTAAAAGTTTTCTCCAAGTCCAATACAAAATCAGCGGAAATGTTCAACTTTTCTGCAAAACAGCCGACGCGACAAAAATGATAAAATTGCAAAGCTTATTTTAGACAAAAGATGGGCGCGTTTCAGTTTTTTTTTTCAATTCGTTTGTTCATCGTTTGTTTACAACACATTTCTTTTTTTCAGTCGTATAGACGAATTTTATTTCATTCGTTTTCAAACAGAACGATCGTTCAATAAAAATAATAGTTTTTTTTTCATTTCTCTGAACGATCCAATTTGCTCGTTCGTCGTTCGTAAATTTTTCTGAACGACACTAAAGTTCACGAAAAATGTTGTTGGTTGACACAAAACGATGTCCATCTACATTCTGGACAAACCATTATATTTTTAATCAAAGAAATTAGTAAAGTTTGAACTTGCAACCCTATTTATATTTTTCACTAAGCTGGCAGACTTTAAAGAGATCCTTATTTCAAAAGTTTATCAGATTTCTTCCCTGCTTATTTTTGGCTTATTTTTTCTATTGCAACGTTGGTCATTTCTTTACGTGAAAATGAAAATTGAAACACATTATTTCATAGTAAAAAATTCCAACTTTTCTTTCTTAATAAGTGGTTCTTGCAGCTGTTCAACATTATTCAATATTTTTTCGGCTTTGATTTTACGAACCTTACAAACGACAATCTTTGACTGAAGACAAAGAGATTTCAGTCAACAAACGTCAAAAAGAAGATAAATGTCGTCTTCGCTATGTTTTCTTTTTCTTTTATGTGTTTTATCTGGAACAAAACGTACCTCAAGGTCGGAAGTTTTATGTGAAGTATCGTCTAATCTTTAAAGCGTGATCTTGATATCCAATGTAGGCACTTTTAGATTTAAGGAAATTAATACAAGGATATATCACATGCAACAAATCTGACTTCTGGAAGTTTTTGCTTTTAGAAATCAGTTAAAATAGAAGTCATTCACTTCTTAACCGTGGACGTAGTTTATTCCGTAATTTCTAGGTTAATATTGTCAGAAAACATTTGAAAAATCGTTTTTAGTATCAAAATTTCCATTATAGAGCTCATTAAGAAAGAAAATCAGGTAAAGAATGAACATTAACATTGTCTATAAACATTATTAACCTGAATTTGTTGTTGTAAAACCTTTAAAGCTGAAAGCTGGCTGTTATCCTCAATACTATTGGTTCCCCTCCTCTCCGCCGTTTCAAGCCTTTTCTTCAGCAAATCATTCTCAGATTTAAGGGCATCACACTCAACAGAATCCATTCTATAATTTTCATTCATTTTTCAATGGAAAGAGAATATAATCTTTACAAAGGTAAATAAAAATATCAAAATTTGCATTTCATCTTTTTCTTTCAACACGACTTTTCATTAAACGATAAAGATTTTGCTGTTGAAAAGCGAGCTTAATCAATTCCTTAACGATGTCAAATGTTGTTTTAAAAATAGGATGTTTTATTCCTCCTGCATGCAAGTATACAATTAATTATATAGTTATTAAAGATAAAGGTTTAACGCCAATAATATGACTTAAGATGATGTTCAAAGTTAAAAATAAATTTCAAATCTTTTTTATCTTCATTAGACTTTGAGGAAAATTTCTTAAAAAAACTTTTTTTGGAAGAACAAATCTATTTTGCTAATGGTTGTCGCCGAAACCAATTGTTTAAAAAAAAGCAGTATTTTAGATTAAAATGAATAAATACAATAAAATTAATTTTTGTATTTCTAAATCATTCCAAAATTTCAAGTGTGAGCAACTATTTATATTCTCTTTATAGCTCAGAACATTTACCGTAGACTATTTCTAAAGAGGTCATTTCTTGACTCGTAAATACTTCTGCGGTTGTCTTGAATATCGTCTTTGCTCCTGAACTGTGAACGTCTATCAATAAGTCCGCTTCTAAATGTCCTTTCTCTGGAGTTGCTGAAAAGCTCTCTATAGCAATAAAAATTATTTTCTTAAATGCTAAAGTTTTCCAATTTTCTGAAAAATTTAATCTCTGCGTAAGTTTTTTACTTGATCTTTTTATTACTAAAATACAGGAGCTGGATACAGTTTCTTCCAATTTGTAAATGATATTTAAGGATAAAAAAGGGAAACAATATTTTAAATTAGAGACTACTCTAAACAATATTCAAGATATTGTAGTTTTGATTTCAAGTACTCTTCCGTTTAAAGAGGGACAGATCTGATTCACAACAGTACCCTGTAAACATTTAACGGTCAACAATATGAAAAATATCTTTGCGTTTCTAGCTTAAAAAAGAGCTTAATTTTGACAGCTTCCTCCGTTGTTAATGAAACTGAAAACATCAAAGTACTGTAAAAAGAAGCCATAATTAAAAATAATAAATTTTTGAAGAGAACATGATGGAATTCTCATTCAAACTAAACTTTATGGGAACTGTTGTAAATTGGACATTCCGCTCTATAAATGAAGGGTCAATTGAAATTATGTAAATTTTTTTCAAGATGGATTTTTTCATTCCTCCTGTCAATCAATCCTCTTCTAAGTGTTTCTTTTTCCTCTTCTTCATCATAATCTTCATCATTCTCAAACTCATCCTAAACAAGATAATTATCATTCTCAAACTCATCCTGATAAAGATAATCATCATTCTCAAACTCATATTGATCAAGATAATTATCATTCTCAAACTAATCCTAAACAAGATAATTATCATTCTCAAACTCATATTGATCAAGATAATTATCATTCTCAAACTCATCCTGATAAAAGATAATTATCATTAAAATTTTTATTTGGTAGTTAGAAAATAGTTTTTAGAAAAATTGTAAATATAAACATTATGCAGACAGGTTAATCCACAACGGATGAGACTTTACAAACCACTCTCCACTATACGCTACTATATCTCCGGTCAGTGTACTGCAAATATCTTCGGTCAGTGTACTGCAAATTATTGCAGAACGCAGCGAAAGGAATTATTTCAAGTGACCCTCCATGCAAAGATGACAATGCCGATTCACAATGGTACCCTTTTTTTTTGCTGCAGTTAAAATGCGCTTACAAATTCAGAAACCACAATTTAAAAAATCAGTTTTCAAAATTATAAACGTTGATATCTAATTAGTTCATCCTTTTTCAGACAACGCGTTCAAGGGTACCGTTGTGAATTCAGGCATTGACCTACATGGTGGGTCACTTGAAATTACGCCTACAGTCCCTTTAATTCTGGGGTTTAAACTTTACATACGGCCAGAAGAATGGTCTTTTATATGTTAAAAATATGACAAAGAAAGCAAATGTTTAAATGGGAACCATCAAATCAATAAGAAAGGACTGAACGATATATGTATATAATATCTATATATTTACAATTTATATATATATATTATAATTTTACATATCAAACGACAAACGAAATGTTTATATTTTCTGAATGCTTTGGGTCTAAGATCTGATATTTTTCTAATATTGTTCTGAAAGTTAGGAGATTGAGGAACTTTGCACACGCTCCTTCACAGTACATTTGTAAACTTTTTAGTTTTCTAGATTTTTATATTTTCAAAGGAAGGAGTAATTGCCACAGACTCTAAAATGTTCTAATCCCGATATCTTTGAAATCTAAAAGGTGTAAATTCTTTATATTTCAAACTTTGACTATTTGTTTCAACAGAGCTGAAAACTTTAGAATGGTGGATATTGAGATTAATGCTTAATCCTCTCTTTTTCTTAATATCGAGACTAACTCAATCTTGTACTTGTATCCTGAAAAGTGTATAAAATTAAACCATTCACAGTCGCGTATATGAAGCCGATAAATTTGAAATTTTGCGCGCCATTTAAGATTATATACAGAAACAGGAGGGACTCTCTAAATTTAAAAAAACCGGTTTTTGATTTTTCTCTTCTATTTCCAAGAAAGCACGGTTTAAGAAGAAAATCAAAAGTGTGTCCATTGGATACTCAGATTAAATAATTTGGATTAAGGATATCTCATTCTAAAGTTTTCAGCTCAGAATTCATAGTTTAAAATATCTATTGTCTCTACGACATTGGCTAGCAAAGAATTAGGGATTAGAAAATTCGAATTTGTTACGAAGACTCAATTTCAAATAATACTAGTGTTAAAATTGTTGAACAAAAAGAAAATAATATTGAACCGGCACTTTTAAGTTACATGTGCAAATGTACGGATTTGATTAGTTTTATATTCTACTAATCCGCTAAGCAGCTTTAGTTTATGCAATGTAAACAGCAAATTATAAATTCAGTTGAATCAAGATTAGATTCAAGAATTCTCTAACCCCAGGTACTTATTTTAGGAATTCATTTAACATAGAAATAAGTCGTTCCAAAAGCATATTTCAGTTTCCCAGGAAAAGTTTCAAGATTTGACATCAACATTGAATAAATATTAGATGATTCTTAGAAAAAAAAGAAAAACTTCGCCGGAAAAATTGTTCAAAATTTTATGAATTTCATATTTCTTTTTGTTAACTCTCTCCTTTATAACGCTTTGTAGATCTGAGGCTGTTTTTGCACATTTTTCTGTACAAACAATATTTACAAAATTGCCATTTTGTCACGACGTGTTAAATTACGTTTATGCAAATTAGAACATTTTATTTTCACATTATTTTTTATAAAAGTTAAAAAAAACCTGTTTTGAAGATTGAATAACATTCTGAGCTTTGGTCAGCAGTTCAGGGTCTACCTTGATTACATAAAATACAGTAGAATATATATGTATATTAGTATGGAACATAATGTCGATATAATAGAAATTCAAATAATATATTGAATACTTATTTTCTTATAGTCAAGACGCAACAATCTTTTTATAACATATTTTTATTCATAAACACAATGTTTCATGATTCATTATTATTGCTTTATTATTCATATTATATATACATATATTTATCTCATGTTCGTGTTTTAAATACGAAACAATTTAACCAGCAATAAAACTTATCCAAAAAATAGGATTGGGTTAATCATAGATCCCCATACCTTCACTTGACTTTGGCCTCCCTCCAATAGAAAAAAAAAGTTTATTTGATTACATATTAGAAACTGAAAACATTTCTGTTCTTCCTAATACCTTTTCAACAAGGGGAGTTATTATTAAAAAACATAAAAAGTCAATCTTACGTTGAATATACTGTAATTTAATATGTTTTATAGGGTTTAATGAATTAACAAATTTGTATATCCTTGGTAATATCAATGTTCTAAAATAAAAGTAAACCATGTTCTTAGACTTATTTTTATGGACTTGAGCCAACTTTTTCTCAAAGCATGTTTGTTATGTTGTATAAGAAGATTTTGCTTAAAGGGAGTGTTCGCGAAAAATGAAAGGGGGTATAGGCTTAATGCGATAAAAAAGCGCTTTTGATCGCTACTAATCTTACTTCTATCTGTTGCGTCTATAAGGAGAAAATTGTTAAAAACGACTCACACCGAAGAACGCAGCGCCCATACAAATTCGGAAAGATGCAACATTCAACTCGGATCGTAAACCAATCAATTTAATTCCAAACAAATTATTCAGATATTACAAACAATAGTCATCAGTTATTTTTCGACGCATTCATATATAGTTAATATTTCATAATATTTTTGATTTTGGTTTTTTAAATTAATTTTCGCTGGCGCTGGATTTTCGAACATTCCTGGAAAATATGAAAATGTCGTCTTCATTTCAAAAATCCTCGAAACAGGAAAAAATGTAACTCTCAGATCATGAAAAATACAAAATATTATGAAATATCAACTATTTACGAATGCGTCGAAAAATAATCGATGACTATTGTTTGTAATATCTGAATGATTTGTTGGGAATTAAATAGATATTTTTACGATCCGAGTTTAATGTTGCATCTTTCTGAATTTGTATGAACACTACGTTCTTCGGTGTGAGTCGTTTTTAACAATTTTCTCCTTATAGACGCAACAGATAGAAGTAAGATTAGTAGCGATCAAAAGCGCTTTTTTATCGAACACTTATCGAACACATTTTTCGCGAACACTCCCTTTAAAACTAAACAAAAAAAATTATAAACCCCAGGTTCAGTTCTTCAATTATTCAAATATTCAGAAAAAATCAACCTACTAAATAAAAAATTTTATAATAAAACTAAGAACCAAAAACATGCAATCAAAATTTGAGGCAACTTTTTTCAAACGGTTTAACTATTTTGCTTTTTTACAAAATCAAATATACACACGAGTACATTAGATTGCTTTAAATAAGTATATTGTACAGTGAGCACCAATAAAACTGTGGAATAGAAAGACGAAAGTTACAGTAGTAAGTAAGTGTATTAGATGTTGTTACAAAGAAAAAACTTTTAAATCACTTACTAAGTGAAATAACTGCTCGATTGCTGTGTATCTCTTGTTTATTTATTAGCAAAGCTGTTGTCCACCACGAATACAAATATATATATATATCTGGGAAATTAATTGGTTTCTTATATCGCTTTTAAAACTAAAGAAATAAACAGAAAAATATAAGATATTTAAAAACCAACCACTGGTCTGTATATACATAAACATCTTTACATCAATATAAACCAGAAGATGCGACAAACGTGACAATGCAAAACCTTTTTTCAAATCCCATTCTTATCATGTCATACATTTAAAATATACTTTTGCTTATATATATATTTAATTTTGGAGTAAAATATAATTTCTAGAAATATATATACATTTAGAAATATTGGTCTCGGTATTAAGTATGAAATATAATTTTGAAAAAAATACATTGGATAAATCATTTAAACAATTATATCCTGTTCCACAGTTTTATGAGTTCTACTGTAGAAATCTGAATTAAAGAGAGAGAATAGTCAAATAATAAAATATTAGAAGAGTAGAAGAATAGAAGAAAAGAAGAATAGAAGAATTGAAAAATAGAAGGAGATATAAAGAGAAGAATAACAGGATAGAAGAATAGAAGAATAGGCGAATAAAAGAATATAAGAAGAGAAGAATAGAAGAAAAGAAGAATAGAAGAAAAGAATGATAAAAGAAAAGACAAATAAAAGGAAAGAAAAAGAGAAGAAAAACAGAATAGAAGAATAGAAGAATAGGAGAATAGAGGAAAAGAATAATAGAAGAATAGAAGAATAGAATAATAGAAGAACAGAAGAATAGAAGAATAGAAGAATAGAAGAATAGAAGAAAATAGAAGAATAGAAGAATAGAATAATAGAAGAATAGAAGAATAGAAGAATAGAATAATAGAAGAATAGTAGAAAAGAATAATAGAAGATTATAAGAATAGAATAATAGAAGAATAGTAGAATGGAAGAATAGAAGAAAAGAAAAATAGAAGAATAGAAAATATGAAAATAGAAGAATAGAAAGACAAAAGAATAGAAAAATAGGAGAATAAATTGAATAAAAAAATAAAAGAATAGAAGAATAGATGGAATAGAAGAATTTAATAATAGAATAATAGAATAATAGAAGAATAGAAGAATTGAAGAATAGAAGGATAGAAGAATAGAAGAATAACAGAATTGAAGAATAAAAGAATAGCTAAAAAAATAAGAGAAGAAAAGAAGAATAGGAGCATAGAAGGATAGAAGAATAGAAGAATAGAAGAATAGAAGAATAAAAGAAAATAATAAAAGAAGAAAAGAAGAATAGAAGATTAGAAAAAAGAATAATAGAAGAATAGAAGAAAAGAAGGATAGAAGAATAGAAAAAAAAGAATACAAGAATAGAAGAATAGAATAGACGAATAAAAGAATAGAAGAAGAAATGACATAAAAAGATAGAAGAATAGAATAATAGAAGAATAGAAGAATAGAAAAAAGAATAATAGGAGAATAGAAGAAAAGAATAATAGAAGAACAGAAGAATAGAAGAATAGAAAAAATAAAAGAATAGAAGAATAGAATAATAGAAGAAAAGAATAATAGAAGAACAGAAGAATAGAAGAATAGAAAAAAGAATAATAGAAGAATATAAGAATAGAAGGATAGAAGAATAGAAGAATAACAGAATTGAAGAATAGAAGAATAGATAAAAAATAAGAGAAGAAAAGAAGAATAGAAGAATAGAAGAATAACAGAATAGAAGAATAAAAGAAAATAATAAAAGAAGAAAAGAAGAATAAAAGATTAGAAAAAAAGATTAATAGAAGAATAGAAGAAAAGAAGGATAGAAGAATAGAAAAAAAGAATACAAGAATAAAGAATAGAAGAAAAGAAGGATAGAAGAATAGAAAAAAAGAATACAAGAATAGAAGAATAGAATAAACGAATAAAAGAATAGAAGAATGAATGACATAAAAAGATAGAAGAATAGAAGAATAGATGAATGAAAATAATAGAAAAAAATGACAGAATAATAAAAGAATAGATGGAATAGAAGAATATAAGAATAGAATAATAGAAGAATAGGAGAATAGAAGAATTGAAGAATAGAAGAAAAGAAAAATAGAAGAATAGAAAATATGAAAATAGAAGAATAGAAAGACAGAAGAATAGAAAAATAGAAGAATAAAAGGACAGAAGAATAAAAGAATAAATGGAATATAAGAATATAAGAATAGAATGATAGAAGAATAGGAGAATATAAGAATTGAAGAATAGAAGAAAAGAAAAATAGAAGAATAGAAAATATGAAAATAGAATAATAGAAAGACAGAAGAATAGAAAAATAGAAGAATAAAAGGACAGAAGAATAAAAGAATAAATGAAATATAAGAATATAAGAATAGAATGATAGAAGAATAGGAGAATAGAAGAATTGAAGAATAGAAGAAAAGAAAAATAGAAGAATAGAAAATATGAAAATAGAAGAATAGAAAGACAGAAGAATAGAAAAATAGGAGAATAAATTGAATAAAAAAATAAAGGAATAGAAGAATAGATGGAATAGAAGAATATAATAATAGAATAATAGAATAATAGAAGAATAGAAGAATAGAAGAATAGAAGAAAAGAAGAATAGAAGAATAGAAGAAAAGAAGAATAGAAGAATAAAAAAATAGAAGAATAGTTAAAATTAAGAATATAAGAATAGGAGAATAGAAGAATTGAAGAATAAGAACCATACATAAAGAAGAATTGAAGAATATAGAAGAACATAAGAATAGAGGAATAGAAGAATAGAAGAATAAATGGAATAGAATAATTTTAAGAATAGAAGAATAGAAGAATAAATAGAATAGAAGAGTAAAAGAATAAAAGAATCTACCTGCCCCAATAAGCCACGTTGTTTAAGAAGATTTAAAACATATTCAAGATTTTCAGTTTGTCTCTTCTCCCTGCAACAAACAAACTTTTGTATTTAACACTTTAGCAAATTTTTTAATGTTTTTTTTTTAATTGAAACAATAAATAAAAGATCACTTAAGCAGTTAGATACGTCGCTTAAAAATTTTGGCAAATTTTTCAAATTCAAACTTTTTTAAATAAAACAATAAATAACAATGAACTAAGCATCTATGTAAATACGTCGCTTTCAAATATTTTTGAATTTTTTTTCAACTGTAAACGTTTTTTTGTAATTAAACATTAAATAAAGAAAAAACTTAGCAACTAGATACATCGCTTTTAGACAAAATTTGCAATTATTTCAAAAAGAAACCTTTTAAATAAAACAATAGGAAATACGATCAACTTGGCAACTAGAAACATCGCTTTTAACATTTTTATAATTTTTTAAGAAGAAACTTTCTTAACCCTATCCCTGCTGGGGTACTTGAAAACCAGGATATGCTGGGGGGGGGGTCAATTTGCCCCCCCCCCTCCTCTAAATCCCATGTTTGATGTCCAAATATGACAAATCTTACATCATTGGAAAGCTCTTGTGCTCTACTTTAAGAATCTGCAAACAAATTTGCAAATTTGCAAAAATTGAATTTTTTATCGCAAAATCCAGTTATATAGTAAAAATGTTTGCAAAAAAAAAAGTTGTCCAAAAGTGAAAAATTATACATTTTTGAAAAGCCCTTGACCATGCCATTTCAAATATGCAAAAAAATTTGCAAAATTTTAAATAACCTGATTTTTAATCAAGAAAAACTAAAAATGTGCAAATTTATTTTGACAGGTTGTTTGCAAAAAATTTGCAATTTTTTTTTCGCAAAACTTTTGCAATCTGTTTCCTTATGTCATAGGCTTTCCAAAAAGCTAAATTTTATCAAAATCCGACAAGTGAAAGTTGGTAAAAACAAAGATTTAGTTTGTTACAGGAAAAAGCAGTCATTCAGGCAGTGTGCCTGAGGACTCAGGCAGTTAGTATTAAAGCCCGGTTTTAGGCCTAAAGGCAGGGCTTTGGGTATGTAGGAAAAGTCAGAAAACTTCAACAGCCTCAGACCAATACTTTTTGAGTTATGTAAAAAAACTACAGGGGGGGGGGTCAAATTGACCCCCCCCCCCAGCAGGAATAGGGTTAAAATGAAACAATAAATTACGATGAACAAAGCAGCTAAATACGTCGCTTTTAAACATTTTTGAAATTTTTTCAAAAAGAAACTATTTTTAAATTAAACAATAAATGACGATCAATATACGTAGCTTTAGGGCAATAATAGATTTGTATTATAATAAGCAACATATCGCCAATTTTGGCAAAAATTGGCTCATGTGAGGCAAAAAGGGCCACCTTGAGGCAACTAAGTCGCTTGAGGCAACTTATAGGTCGACAAAAGGCAGCTTTTGTTCCCTGGGGCAAAACTTGGTCTATAGATGATAGCTTTTCAAGTAACCAATGGTGCTTTAAGGCAACAAAGGTTGTTATTAGTGCAATATTTATTGCTTTTAGAAAACAAGGGTTTATAAAACAAAGTAGGCAGGCAACATATATGTTGCTTTTACACAAGGTTGCTTTTAGAAGGAAAAGGTTACTATTAAGCTACATAGGTTACTATTAAGCTACATAGGTTACTACTAAGCTAAATATGTTACTATTAAGCTACATAGGTTACTATTAAGCTACATAGGTTACTATTAATCTACAAAGGTTACTATAAGCTACATAGGTTACTATTAAGCTACATAGGTTACTATTAAGCTACATAGGATACTATTAAGTTACATAGTTTACTATTAAGCTACATAGGTTACTACTAAGCTACATCAGTTACTATTAAGCTTCAATTGTCACTACTAAGCTACATAGGTAACTTCTAAGCTACATAGGTTACTATTAAGCTACATAGGTTTATATTAAGCTACATAGGTTACTACTAAGCTACATAGGTTACTATCTAGCTACATAGGTTACTATTAAACTGCATAGGTTACTATTAAGCTACATAGGTTACCATTAATCTGCATAGGTTACTATTAAGCTGCATAGGTTACTATTAAGCTCCATAGGTTACTATTAACCTACATAGGTTACTATTAAGCTGTATAGGTTACTATTAAGCTACATAGGTTACTACTAAGCTACATAGGTTACTATTAAGCTTCATAGGTTTCTATAAAGCTACATAGGTTTCTATTAAGCTACATAGGTAAAAAATTGAGCTACATAGGTTTCTTATGTTTGCAAAATGGTTGATATTAGGTAACAGAGGTTTATTTAAGTAAAAAAAGCTTTTAGGCGCGCAGCCAAATCACTTTTTAAAGAATTTATCTCCAGTAATATTTTTACCTGTAAGCTGACGTGGAAGAGACAAGTCCAAATATCATCAAGTAGACAAAAAACATTTTCACATTATTTTAACTAAACAAATTTAACGTTTAATTTTTCGGCTATATTATTATATATTACAAAACATCATTGAGCTGAAATCAGGGATTAAAAATTAAAAAAAAGGCTTGAAATCTACTGACCCTCCATGCAAAGATGAACAACGGTACACTTAAAAGATTTGTCTGATCAATTATGATTTATATATCAAAGTTTTTTATCTTAAAAACTGATATGTTTTTTGGGCGTTTTTCTGTAAAAGGGACTTGCTTACATGAAGCAAAGGGATAGTTCATAATTTAACACTTTTTGAGCCAGATTAACGACGGTATCTTTCACATTATTGATCAGATAAAAGTTTCAAGGGACGCGGGTACCATTGTAAATCGGCCGTTGTCATCTTTATATGAAGATTACCTTGAAATTACGCTTACAGGGACAATATCTCAACAATTAACAACCGAAAGAAAAAGGAACAAAACAGGTATGCTTGTGTACAAAAACGTGAAAAAGGCTGAACCGACCGGGCCCAAATTTTGTGTGGGACCTCGGATGACACCAGCTGAAAGGTAAATGAATGGTCAAACTTTTTTTGTAAAATTTAAAAATTTCACGAAAAACTTTGTAAATCCACGAAAATAGTTTTTTTTTTCGATGAGAATCTGCTGATAGATTAAGCATAAATTAAAAGTTGAAATAGAAAATAGGCGCGATGCGTCCTGATAGCATAGTTTTGTAGAAAAGGCAAGTATGCAAGTATGTAAATTATTTAAAATTTCTTTTAAAAAAAGATACAATGCACTTGGTTTATACCTACTGGACCAAAAAGATGCTAATGCCAGTATTTATCAATAAAACCCAACGAAGCGTAGAAATATTTTAAAATTATTTATCCTTTTTCATTTATCACATTTTAGAACTCAAGCACGATAAAGCAGAATCTTCATCCTGTCCCCCCCCCCCATCTTCCACAAAATCCACCTTTTTCCTTTTTATAAATCTATAGATGATAGGGATGTTAACGTTTTCATTTTTTTGAGAAATGATTGTTTCGTTATGAAAACGACGACGAAAAATCAAAAACGATATGATCGTTTTTAAAAACGATAGTTTTTTTTTAAAGTTCGTTTTTTTGAATGGTCGTTTTTAAAACGATCGTTTTGAAAAATGATCATTTTTGAAAACTCGTCGTTTTGATAACGATCGTTAACGACGACCCTTCGTTAGTGATCTTTAACGACTACCCTTCGTTAACGATCTTTAACGACGAACATTCGTCAACGATCGTTAAGAACCACCCTTCGTTAACGACGACCCTTCGTTCACGATCGTTAACGAAGAGAGGAAACGGACCTGAAGAGAATCTGTACTTATCATTGAGTAGTTTGTAAGAATATATCAAGAAGTTTTAGATCCCCCGGCCCACAACTCTTTAACTTCATGTAAGACGACATTCAATAAATTTGCATGACACTTTTTAAAAAAACCGTTTCGTTAACGATCATTTACAACGACCCTTCGTTAACGATCGTTAACGACGACTCTTCGTTAACGATCGTTAACATAATTGTCAATAATTTTTTTTTTCAAAAAACGATCGTTTTTTAAAAGTGATCGTTTATAAAAAAAATAACAATCGTATATAAAACGGTTTTCATAAAATTGATCGTTTTCAAAAACGATCGTTATTCGTTTTATAAAAGTTTAAAACGAGAAGATCGTTTTTTAAAACGATCGTTTTTTTCCAAAAACGATCGTTTTTTTCCAAAAACGAAACGATCGTTTTTAAAAACAATTGAACACTGAAGCAAAAAACGATCGTTTAACGATAGATTTCAAAAACGATTAACAACCCATTCTGTATATCTGAATTCTAAATTATAAATTCATATCACTTTAAACATGTAGGAGCGCGCAGATACATGGGAATTTATTATGTGGAGCATTTATAATTTGTTTCATGTTCTCCCCTGGGAGGGGGGGGGGGGCTGGTGAAATATTTGGAGAGTTGCCCAAACAAAACAAAAAATGTTAAGTTTTATTTTACAGTTTCCTTGATGCGACATAAGCTGTCAATAATTTGATAAGTATCTCTTTAAATAATAAATATCAGACTTAAACAGGTTTATCGCTAAGTCTCTCTTTAATCCACTGATCAATTCCCTAATGTTACTGTTTCTACAATCCACTTCCTTCTACCGTGAGAGTATACGCAATAAAGTGTGAAAATGTTGCGTGTGCCCTGGTACGCATTTGCGTATAAATATTTGCGTATTGTTATAAATTAAAATAGGACGTATTAAATATATCAAATATACGCAGAAAACAAATTTAAAGATGATAATAACAAAAGAAAATTAGAACTTCAAAATTACATTTTATCAAATTTTAATTTTAAATTTTAATTCTTTAGAAATAATGCGCATTGCAGTATTTGAAAATTTTTAAATAATACGCAATTAAGGAAAGACTGAAGAGGAAAAAAACTAGATGAAATGGGGGGGGGGCAAGAGGATTTGAAGAAGGGATGAAATAATTTTACTGTTATTTTTATATGATGAGGGCAGACTGTCACGTTACCGTTATATATATATATATATTCGTATTCTAATACAATCTCAGGAATTCAAATTGTTCATGGACCTAGCCTTTTTATATGATAGACCTACTTTGTGAAATTGTTGTTCTTTTTGTTCTTGTTGTTCTTGTTGTTATTTTTGTTCGTGTTGTTCTTGTTGTTCTTGTTGTTCTAGTTGTTCTAGTTGTTCTTGTTGTTCTTGTTGATCTTGTGGTTCTTGTTGTTCTTGTTGTTCTTGTTGTTCTGGTGTTGTTCTTGTTGTTCTTGTTGTTCTTGTTGTTCTTGTTGTTCCTGTTGTTGTTCTTGTTCTTCGTGTTCTTCTTGTTCTTCTTGTTCTTCTTGTTCTTCTTGTTCTTCTTGTTCTTCTTCTTGTTCTTCTTGTTCTTCTTGTTCTTCTTGTTCTTCTTGCTCTTCTTGTTCTTCTTGCTCTTCTTGTTCTTTTTGTTCTTTTTGTTCTTCTTGTTCTTTTTGTTCTTCTTGTTCTTCTTGTTCTTCTTGTTCTTCTTGTTCTTCTTGTTCTTATTCAGGTTCATCTTGTTATTCTTGTTCTTCTTGTTCTTCTTCTTGTTCTTCTTGTTCTTTTTGTTCTTCTTGTTCTTTTTGTTCTTCTTGTTCTTCTTGTTCTTCTTGTTCTTCTTGTTCTTCTTGTTCTTCTTGTTCTTCTTGTTCTTCTTGTTCTTCTTGTTCTTCCTGTTCTTCTTGTTCTTCCTGTTCTTCTTGTTCTTCCTGTTCTTTTTATTCTTAATGTTTTTGAAGTCTATCATTATTTTAAATTTTGGGATAATTTTAGAGAATAGTTATTTTGTTTATGTACTTGCAAATTCTTAGTCCAGCCCTGGGATAACAGTTCTGAGACCAATGCAGAACTTTTTATCCCAGAACTAGAAATCCAGGTTTCTTGAAAATATTATATTTTCGTTAGACATTAGTTATTGATGAAAGCAAAAAAAAATTATAAGAATTTCGGGATAATTAAAACAGTGGAATAGTTTTCTTGTAATTACAATATTACGCCAGGCCTTATTTCATCAATATTTCCCACTAAAAACTAAACGATGCATATTTTGAAGCAAAAATCTGTTAGGTTCACAAAATACCATCCCAAAAATAAAGCAAGAAAAAAATGGTTATCGTAAATTTCTATATTCAGAGCTTCAAAAATGACTGTTGGTCGGTTCAAACCAAGGACAATGTATGGCAATTCTTCAAATTCAAAAGTAGATGCACGCATTTTATTTTTGTGTAGATCGATTACTTAAGAAATCACTGTTAAAGGGAGTGACCGGCTATGTAAGGTTGTTGAAATGAGTATGCAGTGTTATGGAAAGCTTCTTTCGGATTCATTTGAGACATATTAAACTTTTTAAAGATCTGTAAATCCTGAGCGCAAACTCGATGTTCAAAACTCCTACTTCGGGGGTGGATACGTTTTCAGAGTTAGTTTTTTAATTGATAAATAACGACGACATAAAATGTAAAAAAGTTGTACAATAAACTACAGACGTCATGTATAGGAACATGTTTAGAAAATAAAAATTAATCTTATCATCGAAAATAAGTAATCTTGTTCAATTATTAGTTTCTATTATCTCATTATTCTGGTTTCTCATTATTCACAAAGATTTTCGTAGATTTTCTAGAATTATTATTGAAAAGACGACATTTGAAGAATTTAAAGAAATCTGCAAATAAATTCAAAGAAAATTATAAATTCAATATAATAATGAAAACGAAATAATCGATTTCAGCATTGATTTATTGACAAAGGAATTGAGTTTTTGCCACAAACTCAAATTTTCCAATCCTTATATCTTGGAAACCTAATGGTGGAAACCCTTGATATTTAAAAGTTAGGCTATTTGATCTAACAGAATTCATAGTTTGAAATATCTAACGTCTACGAAATTGGATTGCAAAGACACAGGTATATAAAATCAGAGTTTGTGATAAAGACTCAATTCCTTTCTTTTGAGAAATATGTTCCTAACCATATAATTAGATTACTGTATAACTTTTACTTTATTTTTCGTTGTCGTTATTCAATAATTAAAATAAACTAATTCTGAAAACGTATTTACCCCCAAAGTAAGAGTCTTGAACGTCGAATTTGCGCTCAAACTCAGGATTTACAGATCTTTAAAAAGTTTAATATGTTTCAAATGAATCTGAAAGAAGTTTTCTACAACACTGAATACTCAGTTCAACTACCTTATATAGCCAGTCACTCCCTTTAATTAAATTCCTCCATGTTAACTATATGAGGACTCAACACAAACTGAATTTATAAACACAATAATTAAATCAATTCCTCCATGTTAACTATATGAGGACTCAACACAAACTGAATTTATAAACACAATAATTGTATCAATTCCTCCATGTTAACTATATGAGGACTCAACACAAATTGAATTTATAAACACAATAATTGTATCAATTCCTCCATGTGAACTATATGAGGACACAACACAAACTG